AGATGAGAGCTTTGCGTCCACCGCGGCCCTAAACGGTGACAAGGTCTAACCTTGCACATAACCAACCTCGGGAGCAAGAGAGTCCAGCCTTGTCTAGAGTCCGTCCCGAGTAAGGGTGATATCCGTGTCTTGTCGACAGACCATCATTTGAGAGGCTAATAAGCCGCATTTTATTTTTATTTTTTTCCGCATTTTTCATGTGGTATCAGCTGTTTAATATCGTTGTTACTCAAATTCAGTTGTGCGGTGATTACTGAGCGTACTCGCAGCTCCCATTCTCAGGCCCTTAAGACGAGCTAATAAGGACTCGAGGCATTGAGTGGAGTCGTGCCGGATGGAATCGTTCGTACGTCGTACGTCCACCACGAGAAATCTTGTCTGGTACCATACGCTGAACAGTTAAATCCAGTTTCCTGACTGGGTACATACGAGTGCTATCTCTTCGCATCCGTCATGGTCCGGAGAAGTGGACAGGTACAAGTTCATGAATCGTGGAACCATCACGCTGCCGAGATTCTCGGAATGCGTTCCATGTCGGAGGGGCAAGTCGTGTCGACGGACTGAGGTACCGCTTGGGGCAACCGTACCGACAGCCCCAAACGCGGACGAATAAATGTTTTATGGAGATCAAAACCCTTCGTACGTCGCCAGCCTCATGATTGCATGTGTGATGCTTAAGTACGAGAGGCGCAGAGGCGCTACAAGACATCGGATGGACTCCGACGGACACCCAGGTGGGCCTTCAGCTTGAAGTGGGCGAACCGGTCTTTCGAAGTAGAAACTGGGCGTTTGCGGGTGGCAAACGCATGGACGGCAAGGAAAGAAGCCGAAGCGGTTTCATTTGTTGACCACCAGACCGAAATGCACTTGGCTTAAAATTAGAAATCGCAGAGTCGGTTTGAGCCAGATGTGGTGGTAGTATGCTGCAGCCCTATTCTTAGGCCTCCGATCCTCGCCCCGGTGGGCGTCAAGCCGTCTGGCGTGTGACAGGTGGAGGATAAGGACGATCTTGTTGCAGAGAAGGGAGGTGGTGTAGATGAACGTCAAGGTGTGTACACTTGTCGAGACGGCAAGGTCGTCCCATGCATACAACTCTTTGATCTTAAAGTCGCGGAGCCAAGGAAACTACGGAATCTCCGGCCAAAAGTGTGTGAACTAGCACGGTCCCCTTCAGCTGTGCATATATTCGGAGTTATCGCATAACTTCGACTAGTATACTTAGGTTAATTTCGTCTCTCGAGGGCATTAGTACGTTATAGGGGTTTATTCTAGGTGTGTTAGTAGGCACTAACTTTTAGGGTAGGGGATACCCTAAGTGCCCAGACAGTGTACCGTAATCTTCGGACGGTCGAAGACGGCCCTTCTGATTCACACCCTTTTGGCTTCAGACTCAGTATAGGAAACATAACGTGGCCTGGGTGAACTGCTCGCCCGGCCGCGGTTTCCGGCCACGGCACTCACTCCTCTATACCCAAGTTCACGTACCCACCCAGAGCAATTGAGATTGGGACTGGGGTTGACCCGTCTCAATTCAGGTAAGCTTGGTCATAGGGCTGAAAGCTTGCGAAACTGCTGGGGTTTTTAGCAAACAATACTGAAATTCATTCGAGTACCCCGCATCATAGGGCAGCTTTCCACACAAACTGCCGACGATATTCATCTACTACTATCTGACAATTATTGGAGTTCTCCTCGAGAACCAGATTCCTGGTTAGGCACTATCCATCATCCGACATGATTGTCTCGTGGTGCCAAAAAAAAAACTTACAGATGCAACCTATGTGTTACATTTACCAAGAGACGGTCCATACTCCGGTACTTACCTATGTGTTACAAGCCAGCCCTAAGCCCCCAAAATTGGACTGCCCGATACGGGCTCCGTTACCGGTTCGTTGCTCTTGAGTCATGTAAGGCAGCATCCAACATTGACAACAATATCGCCAACGAATCGATCTCACCGCAAGTGGGTAATCAAATTAGGGACGCTTGTCCTCAGTTACTACCGAATATGGAGATTCCCTATCATCAAGCATCCACGTCTGTGCCCGCATGGGTTTCGATGGTGAGTGACACTGGGTTGGAAGTAAAAATTTGGGCTTCAGATCAGGACAATCCAAGAACCTCGCCGCCTAGTTCTAGATCTTGATCATTAATCAACCGTGTGTCGCAACTTCATTATAATGTCATGGATGGAACTTTCCAAGTACACCACTGCACTGTTCTACATACTAGTGCCTATCATTGAAGATGGCGTAACTCAGTAGTTGCCGAAGATGCGGCCTTGCCAAACCTGGGCCATGTCGCGGGTCTACAAATGCTCAACACTATCACGCAGATGTTCATAAGCCTATGCGATCTATGACTGTTGTGTACATAGAAAGAGTGGGCGTCAGCATCACATTACAAGTAGTGGCGTCCGCCCAACGCGAGGCAGTAGTAGACGCAACATCAAAGATTCCAGCATAAACAACTCAAGCGGAAGAAGTTCAGGCCGGAACGCTGACATGTACACCAGACATGCTCACTCTCTATTCTATAGCTGCTTGAGGCTTCGTCAGATCAGAACTTTGAACCTGGTAGATCTCACGCCAAGACATGCTCGGTCTATGTAGTTCGACAACCCGAGTCCAAAACCTGTTGTTGTAGGTTTGGAATAAAGATGATGGCGCATTGATAGGTTACCCTTTATTCATAAAAAACAGAATGAAGTCGTGTTAGGCTCCCTCAGTACTCATCGGCAGAGTTGACAACGTCGGCGACCTACCTAGGTACATACTAGTTATACAGGGCTGAAGGTGAAGCGCATTGTTCATTGCCGAGCAAGCGGCCTCGACTGCAATTCGGCACCGCACTATACATGGGCATTACTCATAGATTTAGACTTGAAATTATAAAGATGATCTATTTAATGGATGGACATATTACTCAGGAATCATGGTACACGTAATGCGCGTCAGCGCTATAATCGAATATCAGACGAAGTCATCTTCGTAGCAATTTGTACACAGGCAGTAATCGGAAGCGGGAGTTCTACTACTGCGCTAATACCTAGGTAGTTTCTGCTCACCAGATGAACATGTTAACGAGCCGCGTACACGCAATTCAATGTTACCCCACTGTGGCGCAGCTTCCCAGATGTCAATTTTGTAAGTACAACGTACTAACCGGTATACGAATCGGACTGTTGTTTCTCTTGACTTGGCTATCTCGAATATCCACAATGAACATGGTCATCTTCTTAGGCAATCCCACGAACTATTCATCAAGTCTAAAAACGGCAGCGTGAACCACTGCGCGAGCAGTGCGTCCAAAGCCGCCTTTGGCTTTTTCGTTGGATACTTCTAAGCGTTATATTCGAATTTAGAGAGATACTTCCGAATTTGCGGTTAATTGGTGACGTTCGGAAGTACATATTTACCAAAAAAGTAATATAGCTGAAAAAGGACAATCCGTTTTTAGGGTTGACGAGTACCCTGGATGAGCAAATACTCACATACTTAATTGTTGTTGAGTCAGCAAACAGCTCAGTGGAAGCCGGGGCAATTTCGAGCTGGTACAGAGAAACTCCACATGATACCTCGACCAAAAGTACAATCATGATGGCTCCAAAGGTACCAAAGAGAGTCCGAAACGGCAAGCCACATGCGCTTGCAGCCCTGTACATTGCAATTGTACCCTCACACTACATCACCGCGCTTCTTAGTGGGCAAATTCCGCCCTGTTCGATCTTAGTCAAGCTTCTAACATATTATGTACAAAGTACTCAAGTAGCCTTCCTGTGTAGGCGTCATTGTACGTTCGCATCCACCCACACCCCAAGTCTCTCCTCAGGCCACCCCCCCCGTCTCCAACAAACTCCCCTGTCTCTTGGTGGAACCCAGCCGTTCACCACAATCCCACCGAAATACCCTGTCAAGGGAGTTTCCCAACTCCACCATAATGGCCAGAGAGACACCCTTCACATACCCTGTACAGGCGCTAGAGCCTAATCTTTGAAGGCCCTGGTTCCCTGCACTGTCGAAGGGCTGAAGACTGAAGTACACTACTGCGGACGTTTTTTTTTGCGTGCTGCTTCTCTCAAACTAATACTGCCACCGCCGCCCCTCTTGTTGAACTTTGTCCGACTTTGACATAAACGCCTCTTCACCGTGGCCGTTGCGACAAACAACATCAATAATTCGCTTTGGAGCTTCTGTCTCTCACAGAGCGTATATCACACAATCTAAGAGCAGTCAAAATTCAACGTCCATTAAGTCCAGAGCAAATTGTCAATTCTGACTGGCACGCGGCCCAGCTCATGACACAAGCTTGCCACGCCGATTCGGGTCTGTTGAAGGCATCGAGGCCGGTTACTGATTGCTGGCATTACGTGGGCTCAGTACTTTGCAGTTTTCAATCTTCAACCCCACGAACGCTGCCCATTCACCTACAGCCGTGTTGTATTTGGAATTATTCACAATGATATTTCAATTGTGTTGAATACCTTCAACTGCAACTTCTGTACAATCCGAGGGTTTGGTTTACCGCAAAAAACTTCGGGGCCACCGATACGGCCATTGCCACCAACATCCCTACGAACTCTTCTCCTCGATCCAGGAACAACGCAATCAAGCCAATTCATGCTTCCCGTGCCGCCAAACCACGGGCCTTACCCAACTTTATGACATTTCTCTTTTGAGACGAATTGCCGCCCGCAATCTATTTGGATCAATCAGGAACTGTCCTCCCAGAAGTCCACCGATTCAGATCGCCGCGTGTCGACCTAAACAGTACCGAACACGGCATTGCATTGCATAGACGTCCTTCAGCTCTCCGTGTCCCCCCCCCAAGCCGTTGAATAGGAGAAAAAAAAATACACCAAGATGGAGATCCCGTATCCGCCGAGGGAGCGCGGGACGCCCTCGATAAATATCGAGTTCTCCAACCACTACGACCCATTCAGAAGCTCTGGCAGATCATACCATTCTTCTCAACTGTCGCCCATATCAGCGTCGAATCCAATGTCAATAAGGGCAACTCGACACACTGAGGATGAATTGGCACCTCCCCCCTTACCACCGCCTCGAATTATACCCGGCCTTGGGCCGCCTCCTAGCGACTTCACACCATTCGAGCGACGTCACACTCGCGATATGTCAGGAAATTCGGATTACAGCAGTCCCGGGCATAGTTTTGACCTAGAAAGACCAGATTACTCAAGGAAGAGAAGTGATATCACAGTCAAGCCAGATGAAGGTTACCACAGTCTGGCATCGACCCAGTATGTAGACCAAAATTGCTCTATTGGCTCTTGTTGTTCATACTGATTTGCACCGCACAGACCCGCAACGCAAGAGTCTCTCCCCAGGCTCGGCTTCATGTCCCACGATCAGTTTCGGTTCAGGCCCAACGGAGGGAACGACTACGATAGTTCCATGTTGAAGAAGTTTGATGCGAAAAGAACTCTCGACACCCACTCACCACCCCGGCGATCCGGCCTCAGCTTGTCTGTAAATGATGCCGTGTCAAGATGTGCCCCCTCGGAGAACCGCATGCATGCACAACTGCCACAGCTCTCGCTGCCCATTAGGTCAAGTAAAAAGATGACCATCGAGTCTCCCGGCCACTTGACCGAGACACCGCTACAATCCGCTGTCTCGTCTCGGAGCACGCCCTTCTATGGAGTTGGCAGCAACGAGTATCGCTCTCCCATTGAGCCGATGGATCCAGAAAGATCCCCGCGTCTTCGCTCCAGGAGGACCAATAGTGGATCAGTACCAGATGACGCAACTGTTTCGACACAGAGCAGCTATGATTACAGTACGGAGGACATTGATTTCCCCATGGAGGCGGAGGCATCTGGCATCAGAAGACTGCACATTAACGACTCGTCGATGCGCCACGAGTATCATACTATTGGTCAGAAACGACGTGCGTCCTCACCGCCTGGGGATGAGCCGCCGTTACAGGGTCTGCCTGGTGGGGGTGAGCTGCTTCGACGTCGCGAAGGAAACATGCGGGCATCCCCAACGCCGAGGCTTACGGTTAATGCCCAGGGTGGCTCCATGTCGTCTGTGTCATCCGCAGGACGCAATAACTCCTACGCCTCGAGCATTTCACTGACTACCAGCGCCACAAGCATGAGCTCATTCGGGCGAAGATCGCCGGGTGGCCCGTCACCCGGGGGTCTCTCGCCGGTCGACGGCATCTGTCATTCGCCATTCACCACGCCCGTCTCTCTTGCCCACTCGCCTCGCGCTGGCATCGCTCGTGCTCCGCATCAGCGGGTTCCCAGCGACAACAGGCCTCTCGCCTCGCCTCGAAAGCTCACCGAAGTGCCCAAGGCCAGCATCTCCAGGATACAGGGATTCTTTATGTGCGAGTGTTGTCCGAAGAAGCCAAAGAAGTTCGACACGGCTGAAGAACTAAAGTAAGCTGCGGGGATTTATTTGGTCATGTGCATTGTCATTATTCCCATCCGGGATTAACTCTGTGTGCTCCGTACAATGTGCTGACTCGATCCTCTACAGCGCCCACGAGGCAGAGAAACAATATGAGTGCAACTTTTGCGGCAACCGGTTTAAGAACAAGAACGAGGCAGAACGCCACCAAAACAGCTTACACGTCAGACGACATAGCTGGTCGTGTTCGGCGCTCCACATTACTGGCTACGATAAGGCGTTCCATGATAGCACTAACCGGCCAGGTGAGGCCGACGCCTGTGGATACTGTGGAGATGAGTTCGCGCGAAACGGCGGTGTTGGCCGTGCCCGTCATCCCACCGAGCAAGACTGGGACGAACGACTGCGACATTTGCAAGAAGTTCACAAGTTCAGGGAATGCAATTCGAGTAAGAAGTTCTATCGCGCCGACCATTTCAGACAGCATTTGAAACATAGTCACGCGGGAACCAGTGGAAAGTGGACAAACATGTTGGAAACGGCATGCATGATTGAAGAAGAGCCCCCTCAACCACGTTAAGGGGGCCAGGTGTCGTGGATGAGACGATTGGTATGACGAGACAAATACACATGCTTGCAAACTCGAACAAGAGACCCATTTGGCGGCCGGAGATAAATCAGCAGACGCCTCCATGCCAGAGCCTGGTTGGAAACCCCAGGAAATTCAATCTGTCAATCGGCTGGGTTGCCGATCTCCCGCTCGAACTGAATTCACCTAACGCGTACTGCACCCGATGCAGATTCGGCACCAAATACAGCGCCATCGCTCAACATGGCATCTTGAACCCGCACGCATCCGTCCAAAATCGGCTCATATATTGAATGTTGGATCGGCTCTGACTAACGTAGTTGGGGGTGGCGCAGCTGAGCCCTTCTTAATGGTTGGATTACGAGGGCAATTGTTACCAGCCAGAATCAGTGCATGATGACCGCAGACTGGACGGCCCGATCTGGAGATGTCAGCCTCCCTTATATGCCGACACACCTCAGGGCCAGAAATCCTGTTGTAGTCGGATTGCAGCCAGAACCACACCGCATCCCACCAGCTGGCCCTAATAGGCATTGTGGAAAGTGAAGGAACTTTAGGATCTATTATCCCATCTATACACTCCTCTGGGACAGCAAAACATCCGTGGAACCGACTATGGTGTATAGGTTGCTGTCCTGTCTTACGTGGCTTTCACCATGTTGCCTGCGCAACGGATTCCAAGTACGGTAGCATGTATCGCAGCCTAGTACTGAACCACGCCTCGACTGTCACCACTATTGTACTGCTCAACGCCAACTATGTGAAATCGGTCCAATATCCTTATGCCTAATGCAAGGCATACACCACATCGACTCCCGTCACGCCTCATCAATTGACCTCTGTAAGCGAGAATAAACGACATAGTGTAATATAGCTTGCTGGTTGCAAAAGGCTATTCACCCTGACAAGTCTCCATGTCGAACTGAGTGATAGAAGTAACATGGGTGCCTCGGACGGAGTCCAGAAGTCAAGTCTGCAGATGATTCAGTCGGCCGAACTGGACAAGAATCTACATTTTAGGGATAGCAATAGTCCTGTCCAGAACGTAGAGAAGATGCATGTACATGGCGCAACCCCAAAATGTTGATACTCAAGCTGATCACAGAAATCTGAAATATATCAAATGTCTCGAGCTCCCGTGCTATGGTGAGGAACGTAGACCTAATAACTCCCATTGTTAATTTCCATTGTCAAGAAAAAACAAACCAAATTTTCATTGCCTCCAAACGGCTCATTCTCAATGCAGCACCTGAAAATTTCTCCTTTGAGTCTTCAACAAGGTTGAGCCGTCATAAAGTGGACCCAGACAATGAATGTGGGCCCGTAACAAGCCGCCATGGGGACTGTCACATGATTTTCTCAGCCCTACGCAAAAGAAATTTTCGTTGGGGTACGTACACTTTCAAGGCCAAGTCCCGAGGTCGCGGATCACAGCTGCACCTTCGAACCCCGGGTCCAAGCCACCAACAACATCGTAACCCTGTACCACAGAGCGATCCGGCATTGAACGGCATCATTGACATCGAGGAACTCAAAGAGATTCGTTCACTTTGCTTCACAGGCGAGACAGTTTTATTTTGAAACCTGAAGGCTGGATTGAAGGAGATAAACCGTCTATTGACCGAGCTGGACTTTCCCAATTGGGACGCCAGCCTTTTTATCCCCCACGGTAATCCGATTCTCTAGTTGGAATATCTGCTCTTCCACGCGCACTTTACACCATGGCGTTTTCTAAGGTACCCGGAAAGGAGGACCTGTACGTTGGCGGGTAGGTGCTCCATACTCACATGCTCACATTGTCCTTATTATGCTGACCGTCCCAAGCATATTTGCCCTTCGGAAGCCCGAGACGTTCTTGGAGAAGAACTTCACATCCGTGCTCTCCGTAATCAAATACTCATTTGCTGGCTGGGGCGAGGAGGCCAATCGCTTTCAGCATATGAGCATTGACATCGACGACATGGATGATCAGGACCTATTGGTGCATTTGTCGTCCGCAGTTCGGTTCATCGAGCGCGGACTTTATCCGCCGGTAGCGCCTGATGAGTCCACGTCGGGCCAGAAGCAACGTGTTGATATCATCAATGCTGGTCCGCAATCGTCTCCAGGTTCTGTCTACGTGCATTGTGCTATGGGAAAGTCGCGCTCGGTTAGCTGTGTGGTAGCGTATTTGCTATGGAAACATCCGCACCGCTTTGGTGGAAAGCAGACAGCTTCCTCCACTGCGTCTACTGCCCAGCGTCGTAAAAGTGCTGCTGACGCAGTAGAGAAGGCTGTGAAGTGGGTGCGCGAAGGCCGCCCCATCGCAGAGCCAAATCCGGGGTTCATGCGCCAGCTGGAATTATGGTGGGAGATGGGATGTCCGGTAGACCACGACGGGGCAGTTGAGAGTCACCCAATCTATCAAAAGTGGCTCTACGAAACCAAACTAAAAGAGGCGCGGGATCTCGGTATGGCTCCTGAGGCCGACTGGATCCGGTTTGTGGATGAAGAAGCAGAAACTGAAAAGAACGAACCGAAGCCCGAGGTACCAGAAGAACCAAAAGGAGAGCTGAGATGCAAGAAGTGCCGACGCATCCTTGCAACCTCGAAATTCGTGGTAGAGCATCAAGGTACGGGGAACAAAGGAAGTTCGAATGCACCGTGTCCTCACATCTTTATCGAGACGCTTTCGTGGATGCGGCCGGCTCTTGAAGATGGAGCGCTGGACGGGCGTCTCAACTGCCCAAACGCGAAATGCGGTGCCACTGTCGGCAGGTTTGCTTGGCAAGGATTTAAATGTGCTTGCCGCGAGTGGATATGCCCTGCGTTTTCATTGAACCGGGGCCGAGTCGATGAGGTCGATATCCGACGCGGGGTCCTGGGAATCCGTAATCCCCCAGGCCGAAACGGCAGTTTGTGAAACGGTCGATGGATCCCCATCGACCCATCGAACTCGTATGGACATATCCCGTCGTCGTGTCGTCTTGGTTGATAAGCTACACTCAGTTTCAAGCGAGGTCAGGTGAGCTGCCCAGAGGACGGCGCCGGGAGCAATGGCTTGCTGACGTGGGACCGGCACACACGCAAACCACCCCTTTCCCACCACTAGCAATCTTCCCTAACCCGCCCCATTAAAGACCCATGACATCTATGCAAAGTGAAGGGTGTCTCGGTCAAAATTTGCTGGGTACACACCATTCGTGGCCGCAAACAGTGACGCAGCCTCCTGCGGGTCTAACACGGATAAGCTCGTCACATGCTAGCCGGAGAACTATTCTGGAGCACTCAAGTTGATTATCCGGCAATGCCAGATCTGGAGGTTTCCGCTGATGAAACCCTACCTAGCGCTTACAGCTCCCTTATCACCCTCAAGCATGGACGCTCGTGGCCAACTCCTCATTCTTCACCTTCGGAGGTGGTCGTTATGAGTGGTACATTTCTGCACAAGATACTTTAATCACAACTAGGGGTCTTTGTGTTCAAGCCCGTCACGATGCCCGTCATGATGCGAGAATTGCCTGCTAGCCGCTCATAACTTTCTCGCGCTCATCTGTGTCTCACATACCCCCAAACTATGGACGCCGATGAGTTCACTCTTCCTCACGGGGCGGGAACTTTGTACAACGGGAACTTTGTACAAGAGGACTGTTTTCCGATTGTGGAAATTCCGCCTCTGTGTTCCAGCCTACGATGCATCTTGGATCCACCATCGTCTGGATATTACCTATCGGGGGGTTCCCTCCCCGACTGAGACCTGCTGACGTCGGCACCGCATATTAGAGCAGATCCACGATTGGATGAGAGGCCATCCACAACAACAACAACAACAACGTACAGTTCTTGTTACTACCGAATAATAATAAGTTATATGGATTATATTATTTTCACTGTGATCGGTACCACCGTCGGCAAGACTATGGATATATTTCCATTTTGGACAGGTTCGGCCCCATGTACAAGTTCTTTCCAAGTTCAGTTCCAGTCGCAGACCTTCTCCGCAGGCAATAAGGGATTGCTGACTTATACGATCTGCCTCCCTCGTCTGTTCCTGATTTATTCCTGTGTTACAGTAACATCGACCAACGCCATTCGTAGTCCATAGCTTATGTGAAGGCTCATTGCCGGAAATGTAGCCAGTGACAACAACAAAGACCACGCCTGACGCACGCCTGACGCAGCAGGCTGGCTGACTGACTGGCTCACTGCAACCATAAATCCGAATTCATCCGTGTGCAGATCTCGAAACGATCCACGCGATTGCCATCATTACCGACGTATTGTCGTGGTCATGTGATCAGAAGATGGGTGCGCATTTCGACATAAAAGGACATAAGATGCTTTCTTACTTTCTCCATAGCCTATCTTTGTCCCGTCGCTGACTGCCAAGAACTCGCAGCTTTTCTCTACAAGAGGCAAGATGAGTCGATTGGGTTGTCTGGAAACCCGGCGGAGGCCGGGTCAACCAGATAAGTCGTCATTTCTGGGGAGCAGCGGGATTCCGGCAGGATTTGGGATCGATAAAGTTGCATACGATACGGGATCCGATGTCAGACTTCTGTCGGTGGGCTTGACGTCCTTTCTGCCGATGATGCCTCCGCCATTTTTCTTGGAATGCGAGAGAATCCTCCAGACAAACCCTCACATTCGACGTATGGGTTATAGCAAGAATGGAACGAGGCGATAGTAAAGAATCGTGTACTTGAAGAATCGAAATACTTTCGGTTGAAACAGCTGTCGTGGACCCTCGAGGCTGCAAGTTTGAGCGGCCTCGTGCATGCGGTAGCTCACTTGAACTTGATTGACTCGAAATATGGTGTGCAAAATATTATTCCTGGTTCTTGATCTGCCACAAGGGGGTTTAAGGGGCACGCGGTTACGGTCGATAACTGTGTATGTACAGTATGGCCCCAATCCGGTCCGGATGAGATTTTCTACATGTATAATACCAGTCAGAGTCTGATTTAGTTGATGTCGTAATGGAAAGCAATCTCACTACGCACTGGTGATATCGCCGTTGCTGCCGGAAGTCATTCCGTAAGCTCATTCCGAAATGCCTCGCCTTCAGCCGTCCATCAGACGCAGACGTATTGATTTTTTTACACCACGCTAGTGAGAATTATTCAGCTACCTTTATGCACGGTACTCGTTTAGATGCCCGTCTTAGCTGCCGCTTTTCCCCGGCTACACAGGAACATACGAGGGAAAGAAGCTCATATTCAAGGTCAAGGTCATCGGGAGATACCCGTCAAGCCACATCACGCTATATTTTTATCCCAGAGGTTGCACGATGAGGCGGTCGCTGTAACTAAGCAGGGTCCAAGAATAGCGAAAGACATAATATCCCACAGGCACCGGGACGGTAGATTGGCGGCTTGTGACCAGGCCATGTGTAAGCGCCGAGGTTTACCGGGCGCGGTATTTCTCCTTGGAGGCATTCCGGCGATTGCCGGCCGTTGCTGACTCTCAGGGTACCTGCGTTCACCTCATGTACTCGTAGATGAAGTTGGACTCCGACGACACTCGGCCGGTAGGTCGACGCGACCCACATGAACACCGAACGGCAGTCCGGCCCCGGTGCTTCAAAGAAGTTGCGGTCTCGGACATGGCATCGGCTGCACAACTTCTTATTCTGGCTGCTTTATAGCCCGGTACTTACAGCATGGCAGAATGGCCTTAGTACCGCAACCAGCGGCAACCGAAGCCGGATTACCAGGCGGAACCTAAGGTGGATCTTGAATGAAAAAAGGCTACCGTCTATGAAGCGACTACCAAGAGCAGTATCCAGAGACTCGTGTACGAGGAGCAATTGTAGTCTGTAAGCATGCGTAAACCAAGTAGAACGACAACGTGGGAGAGTTAGAAGACTCAAAATGCAGCCCAAGACCAGCAGAGCAAGGAGAATGCTCATCCCTCAAAGGGGGTAAGGAATTCTTGGCACGAGACCAAACCGGATTGAATCCTGGTGCCATTGAACTTGTTGCTGCATTGGTACAGGCCGTGTAGCCCGCGAGCTGAACCACGGTCTGCACGATTGCGGCGCCGCAGCACCTGCTAGTAAGTATGGCATATATATTTGCGGTCGCGCGGGGTTCCAGGGGAGCAATCCTGAGTTCGCTACCGTTGGTGTAGTGGTACGCGATGTAGTACAGTACAACTTGAGCCTCTTCAGCGTGTCAGCGTAGACTGGATTGAGTAGTTCCGTAATTTGTAGGGCTCAGTTGAACTGGCCCCCACAGTGGCGCTTACCCCTTAGCACTGCGATGGAACCACGCCAAGCTGAGGCATGCATTGGCGAAGCTGCCATGCTTGAATGGCAATAGACATTGAGTATTGATCGGCAGCGTTTGAAGGATCCGGCTCAATCCCCGCTATTCCTCGAGCCGATTTAGGCACTCTATAGCGGTCAGGGCTAGTGTGACCTCCAGCCTGGTCAGCTATCAGTCGAGCTGTTACACAAGTCGGTCCCAAAATATTACAAGATCTGACACCGAAGATCTGGCGTCGTCTTTGTCCTTGTCCTGCCGATTTTCCGGAACAAGGCGCCGGTTGTCCAGGGTAGCGCAGCAGGCAAAGCTTACGATTAAGCTGGTGTGATCGGTTTTGTACAACTCAGATGGATGATGTTGCGCATGTCAGTGTTACTTGTTGCGACCCACCAATCCACCTGATGAATGACTTAAATTAGTTTGGTGTCGCATACGAAGGTTGCAGCCTACTGAGATATGCATGTCGTCGAAAACTGGACATACATCCGAGTGCGTGCAATTTTATCATGACTGCATGCCATACTTTCGAGTTGTCTCTGGTCACACCTCAAGCCGATCGGGATTGTCCAGGACGGAATGTGCACTGGGGCAGATGTGATGATGTTTCCGAACGAACACGCTGGGGCTGTCGTTTATTCGGCTTCCAATATTGGACTGCAGCGACGTGGCGGTTGACCGCATATTAGAGGGGCACAGGATCAACGTCCACAAGTATCTGTCAGTCGAGCTCAAAGCACTTCTCGTCGCGCCTCTTGGCGTGACCTGGCTATAGTCGTAGGAGCGTGATATGCGATGCACGTACGTCGACCATCTTGGCCATGTATGCATGCACCTAGAGTAGCAGAACAACCACTCCGGAAGAGCAAAGACAGGTTGATCTGACATCCGGCAGTTGCGGGGAACTGCAACTGGATATCAAAACACATAGGCCCTACGACTTGGCAACCGATGCTGAGGGCCAAATCGGTGAGGGGCTATGTTTGGTGAGCTAGTACGGCTTGAGGTGTTGGTCCATCTTCATGATGCCAAGGTGTACAGATAGACAGGCTGCAGGGAGCCCAGGAGCGAGTCTGCCCGTGATCGCGACGCAGGCTTCTGGCGGTATGTAGGTAGGCGGGCACAGTTCACAGGTTGGTACCAATGATCCGCAGGATGATGATGCATGCAATGATGCTCGACAAATACGCGGATGGAATAGCTAATCCCAGGCATTAGCTCTGGGGTCTAGCAGGACCCGACTGTTTGAGGACACTCACATCTCTTTTGTGGCTGCCTGTTAACGCAGAGTAAGCACTAGTCCTGTTAACGGGTGGAACGACTTGGCTGAAGGATATGATAGTCCACCAGAGGTGGGACACCAAACGATCAAAGCTTGTGGTCCTACGAATATTTGCCATTGTATGTAATCTGTGGTCTTCGAGAGTGGTGAGGGTGATATATGGGCCAAGACCACGCAGAGTAGCACAATGTTAGTGGAGAATGCCTAGCTAGATCCCAGGACTCGCTCCTAGTGGATTCCACGAGGCATCCACGCTGTGTGACGTTGAAGACGCCGTATAACGCTTCTCGTAGGGCAGGCACATTTAATCGAATAAAGACCTCATCCAAGCTTCGGGTCAGTCCGTCATGGCCTTGAACTACGCTAGGAAACAAGCGGGGGTGATTCTATCATGCGAGGTTCACATCGGCATCTCATGAAGACCACTGGAGGAAATAGACGGTGTAGGGGCGCCTCTAGCACACTATTACTTGCCGTACAGCAGCGCAAACTGCCTGAGTGGGAGAAAGTAATGGCCGCTTTCCTGCGACCATCAGAATGAAAACTTCCCGTAGCCCACCAGTAAATCACACCTACACGTGGCGGCCATCTGTGACTTATTGGGACACACTTGCAGAGGCTAGAAAATAGGATACTTTGACTGAAGGTACCCGAGATGATTTGAGAAAAGACCCACTGACAACCCGTAGGCCGATGGCGCAGAGGGAGGGTATAGTTTCGTTCTCCGCACAATGCTAGGGCTAAATCCTGCGCCGGATTCCCTTTTATCCGGGCTCGAAGACTCGGAGTGCAAGCTGATGACGATGGTGATGATACTTGGCCGACTCTACGATCCAGGTGGACCCTTGGGTACCGAAGGAAAGTAGCTAGGATCACTCAAGCGCTCACGATTTCTTTTGGCCATTTCTACTTGTCTCTTCTTGTCGAGTCGCGCCTGGTAGAAGTTTCTAAATGGCGTCAGTAGACGAGTTAGCTGCTAGCAAGATGCGGAAAGGGGCGAACCTCTGCAATGCAAACACACGTGGCTCGTCTTCCACGGGAGGTGTCTTCACTTCCTTTGAAGCATCCTAGAGAATACGGTCAATTCCCCAACAGGAACCTCGATACTGGAAGACGGGCTTGCTTACCTTGTCCTTCGACTTCGCTTCCCCTTCCTTCTTCTCGTCGTCTGTTTTGGGGTCCTTGTCTCTGTCCTTCTCGTCATCTTTTGATTTATCCTTCTCACTGTCCTTTGCCTTCTCCTTCTGCTTCTTCTTGCGTTGCTTCTCCTCATACTCCTGCTTCACACGCTCAATCTCCTCTTCCATCTCTTTCTTTTTCTTGGCAGCAACAGCCACCTCGTCTACGATGGATGTGCAGAATTTATTGTCTTTCAGATGAGCCGGACAAACGTAGAAGTAGTCCTGCTTTTCTGGAGTGACCAAGACGCTGGAGCTGGGTTTGAAGCAGATGTCGCATCCTCTGGCAGCCGTGTCGGCCACCTTGCGGTGATGCCAGATGTTGGGAAACGACATCACGAGGGTCCCCAACGGCAGGAAATCCAAGACAATAGTGTTTGGACTAATCAAAGTAAAGAGCTTGCTTTGACGAGTTTGGTGAATGTCATGCCTCGATGGTGATTGAGGGGCATGGCGCTGAGCAGGCGCGGGTGGTGGGGCCTGACTGGGATAAACGAGGGAGCTGTGGCTGGACTGTGGCCCACAAACACCAAACCAACCAAATTTGATTTGATAAGGAAGGTCCAAGTCTGGGACATCGACAATTTGAACTTTTTCAGTTGCAGCTTCCCTTCAACTCGGAAACACAACAATCCTCAGCGTGGTAATGGGAGAAAGTTGCCTGGTACTAGATTGTGACTGTTAGGCAGCAATGAAGATGTTCTCCAATACGCATCACGTCCCCATCCGCCGTTGGGAAACCCTGGCAAGTCTACCAGGCGCCCAATGACGTTGAGGTCAACTTTGGAAAGAGAAACCCAACGTCTCTGATCTGTACCTTTCAGGTGGCCCGTGCCGTGCCCAAAGTGCCCAAAGTCGCGTTTTACGCTTGTCAAACCTTGAATTTGCAGCCCAGAATCCAAGTGACGTCCCGTCGCCATCACGTAGCCATGTCGAGTGGATTGGACGCACAGAAGCTGGAGCTTGTCTTCAAGTCGAGACCCGACATTCTTCAGGGTATCGAGAAAGAAGCCAACTCGGCACCGCGCATCAAGCTCTTCAACAACATCGTCAACTTCGTCTACGAACAAATCGGCAACCCATCCTCGTCAGAACCCTCCCTCAAACGTCGTCGGGTCGACATAGAACCCAGCCAAAATGGGAAAACCACCTCCAATGGGTCCATAGCAGCGGCGTCTATTGCAGATGTTGCGGAGGAGAGCATCCTGCTAGAAATCAAGGGCATTTCTGTCTCGGTGCCGCAGCGCAAGAAGTTCGACCTGTGCCTCACTGCACAACACCTCTACGCCCGAGTCCCCAACACAACAACGCCGGTGCAAGGCGCCATCTACGCCTGGAAGGACATCGAGTATGCCTTCTGCGTCCCCGTGCCCGAAAAAGCCCAGCTGCAATACAACTACATCCTCTTCCCCCGCGGCTCCTGCCTCTCCTCGCTCTCGAAAGCCGCCACAGCGGGCGACGCCGAACCCCTCGTCTTCACCGTCTCCGCGGGCGCGCCGGCACCTAGCTCGATCGGCGGACCGAATGCGGGCGCTGCATCATCCGTGGCGGACACATACCGGGGTTTGATGGACTGGGCGATTGGCAAGTGTCTGGAGGCGTCGTCGAACACGGTGAAACTGGTGGCGGCGGATCCGGCCAAGTTCCACAGTATGGTAAAGCAGCCGCACCGGCCCAACGAGAAGGCGGTGCATGTGAAGGCGTTCCGGGGCGCCAAGGACGGCTACTTGTTCTTCTTGGAGAACGGCATCTTGTGGGGCTTCAAGAAGCCGCTCATGTTCCTCCCGATGCACCGCATGGCCGCAGTGAGCTACACGAGCGTGCTGCAACGGACCTTCAACATGGTGGTTGAGGTGTTCACCAGCGAGGACGGTGATGCTGAGGCTACGGAAGAGGTCGAGTTCGCTATGCTGGATCAGGAAGACTACGGCGGAATCAACGAGAAGTACGTTGTGCCGAAGGGTCTCCAGGACAGAAGCATGGCAGATCAACGCAAGGCGAAGCAGGAGTTGGCTGAGAATGCCAAGGGTGGGAAGAAGGGGACTGAGGGCGCTGATGGGGCGAATGATGCGGTAGGAGACGATGGTCTGACGGAGCTACAGAGAGCTGAGCAGCAATTACAGGACGAAGAGGATGAGGAAGAAGAGGACTATGACCCTGGGAGCGACGATGATTCTGAAGGGTCCGGTGAGAGCTCTGATGACGATGAGGACGACGAAGATGGTGAAGGCGGCGAGGATTCTGACGATGCCGAGGATGACGATGAATAGTCAAGGCTTGCACGTGGATGGCAATTGATGTCGAATTGCTATGCTACGGAGGCTTCTGTACATGGCTGGGATGAAGGGAAGCTACTCCTCATCGTCATTTTTGCTGACAAATACGCCTTCATAATCTCCTTGCCTCTGCTCGTCATCTGCAGCCAAATTAAACTGCGACACACTAAATATGAGAAGTTGGGAAGAGGATCGCCTTCGCTGGGCTTAAAAGTAGATTGGGCAGACTTATGAATGGGTGTTATCTGGTCTGCTCGAGAGCTGGAAAGATCACATGTGGTGCGACACGGTCATATTCACGAGTTGGGGTGATAGAGATACAGCTAGCTACTCTTAGCAACTAATGTTATGTACAATATGATGACCCTACTTAATGACCAAATCATTATTATTATTATTAAATACGCCGTAGGCTCGAAGCCCCCGGTACCTCTACTAGTACTCCCGTATGTCAAACCGTGCCCTAATGGCTGGACTAAATACATACGCTGCGTCGTCGGTTCGCCCTATTGGCGACTGCGTTGCGTTCACTACCATACTACGTTGGTTCTCAACCTACCAACAAAGTCCCCCCTGAGAAGATCGATGCTATCTGGGCCTTGAAGCTGTCCGACCCGTCCCTAGCAGCCATCTTACAATAGTCCCACTAACTACTGGTTCTCCTGTTGCCGTTGCGAGGTCTCTGCGAGAGTATAGTGGCCGTGGTGCGATGGCGGCCCATAATCGTTCCCTCGGTCCTTCCAACAGCCCGCAAAAGAGGATTACGTGCTCTGCCGTCTCAGGGGCATCGCCACAGCGGCATAGCGGCGAGTACACGCCAAAAGCCCCTGTCTTGAATAAGAAGGCTGCTAGTCCTATTTTTCCGTCCTGATCTGGCACAGCGTAGACGCCTCCAGTCGGTTCAGGCCGAAATACTTGCCCCCTTTCGGTATCTGCATCGAAGGGCCCTCCGGTTCCTCAGCGATAGCGCGTCGCTGGCGATCGTGATGCTCTGCTCCGGTGAGCCATCTCTTCCTCCAGTGGTCGAGGAGGGCAGCCGGGACCTCCTTTTCCTCACTCATCCACTCGGAGCCCCGGGCCTCCTTCTCCATAGTGTACCCTGCCGGTCGGAGTAGCTGCGACGCCTGCTTCCTCTTCGCCGGCCTATCCTGCCGGAGTATATGTGACGCTTTAGCGCTCGCGCTGCGAAGCAGATTTCTCTTCCCGCTAAGTCGTAGCCGTTCTTCAAACTTAGCAGCCCGGGCACTAAGATAGAGGTCTAGTGGCGGGATTGCTGCTTCTGCTTCCAGGTGGCGAACCGGCGTCGCTTTGTGGGCGCCACAGACTACCCGGAGGCACTCGTTCTGTATCCCCATCAGGCTCTTAGCTGGCCCTGCCGGTTCCTCACTTATAGTATGCCACGCAGTCGCCCCGAAGGCGATCGCGCTACGGATAACCACCGTCGATAGATCTATACACGGGTCTGGGAAGAACCTCTCAGCTAGTAATTTTGCCTTCTCATCATGTGTACGTGCCGTAAGCGTGTCGCCGGCGTCCCTCCGGAGATCTGGCAAGCCGTGGGCCTCAGGGGGGGCCCAGCTCCGTAGCCTAGCCCACGACCAAATCAATAATTGCTAGTTTGGTAGCCTACCACCAAGTGCATACCAAATATACTTCGGAGGCGAAGAAATTTCATAGAATGTATATAACGTCCTCAAGCCCCATGGGACTTTGGTTGCAGGAATTGAACAAACCAAAGCCAGAAACAGCTTTTCACGCACGCATTGTCGGACTAGAAGGTCCATGAGTTGGAGTAGGTGTTAACCGTCAAATTAGTATTACATCATAGCCAGCAATATCTTTTGCTTTATCTAGCCGGCTTTCCCTGAATGTTACGCTTTGCTCAGCCCAGATTTTCATCCTCAAGCCACTGGGCAAATGCAAGGTATTACGAAACATACATGGTCAGAATAAGAGCCCCAAATTTGCATAGGTCCAGAGTCGGCACAATGAAAACGAAATGCCATAGGAAGAAGAAGAAAAAGAAACACAAAACGACAACAGCCCATATTGCCTCGCGCTCTTGCTATTGGCGATAATCTCCGCAGCTTGCTCAGCCATGGCATACGTCGCCACCTGCATGTGAGCGGATACGACCACGGAAAACATGGAAGCGTCCACGCAGGCCGGCTACCCCCTCGACTCTCAGGTTGGTATCGACGACTTTGCCCATGGCGGCGGGTCCTATGACGTGGTAACATGAACTGGGGAAGGGGAAGAGAAACAGGCCGCTATAAAGATAAACAGTATGCTCATCGTGTAAGGTACCGAACGTGGACTCGTACCAGTCGAACTCTATAATGGCTTTGACTTACAGAGTGATCACCACAGTTTCTCCCAACCTCTGGCGAGTTGACTTGAACCGTGATGCCGAGCCAGATAGCATGCGAATCTGCGGGGTGCGAATTGCACCTGGGGACAGGATGATCTCTCGACCAAACAGTTGCGTCCCGTTAACCAGTTGGACCCCCGAAGCTCGACGCGTAGCATTTTGGCCCGCGGGATGCAGGAGAACCTTTTGTACCATAGTGACAGTGAGAACAGTGACGCCACCCAGCGGGTACACAGCCGAAGCGATTTCGCGCCTCCCGTTGTGCTTGTTTTCGTTGAGCTCCCCGACGCCCAAGAGGTGGCGGGCGTTGGCGTCCAAGTGCGGCACAGGTGATACGCCCAGTTCACACCATGACTCGAGCTGCTTCTCTCGCATGGGGAAGGGCTGGCGCATGGAGGTGGTGGACTGGACAAACACGTTTCCTTGCAGGCCATGCTGGTCGGGATTAATGGTTGCATTCCAGTATTCCTCCGTTTTTTCATGAAAGGTAGCTGGCCATCGTAAGTCCAGCGGGCATCACCAACTTGCTCTCCCCAGAGGCCGTAGTCAGTCTCGTCACTCCGGCACCAGGCTCCTGTGGTCGTGTCAGGTGCTGCCACTCCTTGCATAAGTTTGCGTGATGGGTTATGCCACCTTATCACTGTTGTTTAGTTCCAATTGAATTTGCCCCCAACGGTGTTGGATGAGTTGGGCCACACGATATCTTGGCATTGTTGACATTGGGGCCGGCTTCGACGACCAGAAGCCGGTTGGATACGACAGACCCAGCAAGTCCTCCGCCAACAACGATGTAGTCCCACAGCATAGTTCGTTTAAGCAGAGTTTTTGCGCCGCCAGTTAAAGGCGTTGGCCTGATGGGGGGACCCAGAAGTGTTTCGTCCTAGGTGGTTGAGCAGCGAAATAAACGATGGTGGCCTTCTCTAGACGGGTCGGAATGCTTATGGTCATTTGTACACCCTCAGTCTTCTGCTTTTCTTCCTCCCAATTGGTAGCAGGGATTGCAGGCGGGTGGCGTAAGTATTGTATGGACGTTTTCGATGACGTGGTTCCAGATGCTTATGTGGGGAGTAACACGGAAGGACAAGAGTGGTGAAATATTGCCCAAGACGTCGTATTTGGCCGTATCAAATCTCGGTTAGATATAGCACTTCGGACCCAATAAGTCTCAAGGTTGGCGCGATCTAGTGCAGGATCGATGCAAGAGATTCCGCACATGCGATCCAAGCCCACGTGTCCGGAGTTCGCGATACCCCTTGGATCTCGCAGGTTCCGACCCTCCTCCCCCTTCCCCGAGCTGAGCTGCATTCAATATATGATGCACAACTGCAACCCTAATCTAGCATCAGCACATGACACCTTACTGGTTGCGCGACATTTCCACAGGGCTCTGCTACTCACAATGCTACCGAGTCGAGTAAGCTGCGTTTTGTCTGCGTTGGAATGCGAACCTCACTGCTGACGAAGAGTTGGGAAAATTCGAACGAAAGCAAAGGTCATGTCCGCATCGGGTCTCTCTTCAGTCTTCGTATTCCTGTACCTTTGGCGGCGCTGTCCTAATTACTTTGCTGTTATAGGCCATCCCCTGTAAATATGAATATCTCCCGAATTTTGGAGTACCGCGGAGACGATGAGGGGATTGTTCCAGTATCGTCTGGCGGAGTCAGAGTAATCGTTGCAAATGTGGTGATGATCATCAGGTACTGGCCATACATTTTGGGAATGTGGGCGCGCCGGTGCAGGAAGCTTTCCGTGTTCATATTGGAGTATTCCAAGCCAAAAACGCCAGGGGCTTGCATAAGCTTACGATCTGTCAGCTGTTCTTCATGGGTTCCGCCGCAAGCTATATCCTATGTTGGTCTTTCCTATGTGTCTCATAAGCACTCGGACATATACGTCGGACATACGGATATGCCCAAGAACGACGATGACTGATTCCCGCTGCAGTGGTAACGACAGCCGGCGTGGGAAACCACCTAATAAGGCTCCAGCCTTTCCATATCGAACGATGTTACAAGATCCTCTTCGCCAACCAAACCCTCTACGCGCTGACGCTGGGCTTCGTCAAACCGAACATCACGCGGATGCTCCAGCGTGTCTTCTCGACACGCACCTTTCGATGGGTGGCATACGTCGTCATGGTCCTTTCGGCGGCCTGAATGACCCATACGATTCTCACTGACATTCTGCTCTGCCATCCCACCTCTTTGAGCTGGAACCCTAACGTGCGTGGCCACTACAGCAATCGACAGCTGGCTTAGAGCGCCGTTGGTGTCGTTCGCCTCATCACAGACTCCTTGTTTCTCATACTACCCGTGTGCATGATCTTTCGCCTGCACATCGGCACCGCGCATAAGGTCGCACTGGCGGGCATATTCGAATTGGGGACAATTTATGTATTATTTGCTATTTTCATGATGTCGTCAACCACACCCGTCCCTCCACCCCCCGCAAGCCTCGTACTCGAGTAATGCGAAGTTGACGGCGGTGTTCAGAACCATGGTCTTCACCGCATTACGTCTCTACTCGTCTCTACTACATCTACAATATCGACTTCGCAGATATAACCTAGTCCACTGTTACGCCCATCAGCTACGGTGCCATCCAAGTAGGCATCACCATCATGGTAGCGAGTAGCCCCTTATTGCGTCCCGTCTTGTACCGCACCTCCGGTTCGTGGCTGCCGCATTCCCTCTCCAGCGCTGGAATAAATTCCAAGAAATCAGCCAGTAATTGGAGAGGTGACAGGGCCGTCAAACCCGTCCCAGTTGAGCTGCAGCCAGGAGAACCTGCGATGGGAGCTTTCGAACATGGATTCCCACAAGGCGGCTCATGGCGAGTCGACGGTGCCATCCGTGAGAATATCGGACGACAGTGATCCAGTTTTCTGAGCCCGAAGAGCCTGAATCTTAGTTACTACATCGACATTTATTTCAGACTAGGAAAGGGGCAACAGAAGCTGATTGTCAATCCCACAAGGTTCATAGGGATTCAAAGCCGCAACCGATAAAAATCTAAGGTAATGGTGATATTATTGAATACCACGCCCCAAAGCGACATCTTGAAGCTAGGAAAGAAGCGATGGGATTTCAATGTGCTGAATTGGCAATGACCTGGGCTGGCTTGTGTGTGAAACGTTTCGAAGTTTCAGTAACTCATCAATCATGACTATCAGCCACTATCATCATGAATACAGATAATGGTATGTCCGAGAAGTGTAAGAAGTGTAATGTATGGTTGTGTGCCCCCCAGAGACCAACAGGGCTGGCTTGCCATTGTGCATTGGGCCAAGGCATCATCTCATTACAGCACGACATACCTCAACCTGTGCATGTAAAAGACAAAGATACAGCAGATAATACAAGATAATATTTTTGAGGTACCTTCCATTTAATGTGGTGCTAGGCAACTCCCAACTCATTGAGAAACTCACCAACCAGCGATAATCTTCAGAGGTATCTATGGTCATAGATAACAATTCAAACGATTTGAAATACATCCAAATCACAACGATATGAGAGATGCATCTAGAAGACCCGACCCTTGACCTGCTTGAACTCGATGACGTTGATGTTCCTCCAAACCATCACCGCGGGAATGGCGAGAACCAAGATGGCCGTTCCGCCGACCAACATCCACTTCTGCGCATCCCCGTAGGCCGCGTTGATGGCATCCCTCGTCGCTGAACCCACGGGGTAGCTGAGCTGTACGGTGAGATCGCCGTATATAGTGGTGAGGTTGCCCTGCTCTTCCTCTGGGAGGTACTTGGCAAGCGCGGCAGGGAAGACACTAGTCCAAGTCGCTCCTGCGACGGATTGGCCAATGGCACCACCGATGCTCGAGAACATGCCCTCCATGGCGAGGACGACGGCGACATACTGATGGCTCGTGGCGGCCATAACGGCCATTTGCTCGCAAATCACCAGAGTTCCTCCGGCAAAGGCAATAAAGATCTGGCACATGACAATGTACCCGACGTTGACGTGAGGCTGGCGGAAGGCAATCATCAGACCTACTCCTAGTATGGTCAGGGGAATGCCAAAGTAGAGAGCAAGGTTCTTGAACCTCCCTCGGTAGTGGATATAGACACCGATCAGGAGGGACCAGAAACAGGAGCCAATGCTGTAGATGTTGACAACGTAAGCGGTGTAGGTAGGGCTCAAGTTAGGTACGATCTGTAGGAACGACGAGAAGTAGCTGTCCCAGATGTAGAAGCTGATGAACAGGACGCAAGCCAGGACGTTGGCTCCGAGCACTGTCCGGTCCTTCAAAAGTTCCCAAGGCATGTAGTTGACAGGAGAATACCACGTTTCCCAGACGACGAAAAGGCAAAGCAGGACAAAGCCGCCGACGAGTGGACCGATTGTCATCTTGTCCTTCCACCCATAGTACTGATATGAGTAGATGTTGAAAGGCAGGAGGAACAGCGAGAAGCCGGCACAGAGACAGAGAACGCCGACGGCATCAAACTGTATGAAATAATACTTGATGGACTCCCAGGTCGTACGTCCACTTGACTTCTTGGGCAGCATGCCGGACTTGACCGCCTGACGTTGGTTGTACATGAAGAGGACCCATAACGGCAGACATACTACGGGCATGATGATGGCGAATATACCGAATCCCCATCGGAATCCCATGCCACCCGGTTTGACGATGGCATTGAAGAAAGGGCCGGTGATCCACACGGTGATGATATATGGAGACGACTGGAATGCGAACATGAATGATCGGTTCCTCAGCGAAGAGGTGTCGGCGACGAAAATTCCCATAATGTAGCTCAGGCCGTTATACCTAGAGAAGTCAGTCCGTGCTGGCTACGGCGGAGAGAGGGAATGACATACCCAACCCAGTAGAAAACCTGAGCAGCCGCGTACGTCTCAACGTTTTGGCACGCAGCCATCATAACGAGTCCAACGGTCAGTATAACCACCATCAGGATGTAACCGTGGGGTCGGCCCCAGATATCGATGAGTTTCGCGAGCGGAAGCTTGGTGACACCACCGATCAAGCTGGAAAAGACGCCGGCCGCGGCTGTCAAGGAGTGCTGGGAAAAGCCGCTAGTAACATACGGGGTCAGTAACCCCGTCGTGCCCTGTTGCATCGCATCGACGAAGGTGATGATCCATATGCTAGAAATCGTTAGCTAACTGCTTGATATACGCGCGTCGGCAGCATTGCTCACAAGATGTAAGCAAGGACGAGATTCGATTGAGACCAGTACTTGGTCGTCGCCTCGATTTTCTGGACGCCCCTTTGGGCTGTTGTATCAATGGCATCGATATCTGTGTCAGACTGACCATCTTGGGACTTGTTGTGAGGGTCCGAGCTGATAACGCCGGCTTCCTTGTCAGGCTCGGCTGGATGATTGGTCTTCTCTCCCACCGGCGCCTCTAACGGCGTCTTCCAGGCGAAAGAGGCCCTCATGTTCGGCTCTTTCTTTGATGGAAATATGTCCAAGATAGATAGGCCAGAAGAAGTCGGTACAGTTATACTGCAAGCCCCGTGGGCTGGATGGATGGGTGGATGAAGAAGGGAGAAACAAAACAGGTCCCTACACGACGAGCCGGGGCAGGTATTTGAACATTTTGTCGTTGCCCATGGCCGCATGGCTCGAACCTGATTACCGGGTCTCCAAGTTCAATGCATCCTGGTGGGTTACAACGGGACAAATCCTTAGCTTGAAGGGCGTTGAGTTCAGCTTGATTCCTCAGGGTCGAACTCGGCCGGGACATCTGATTCGCGATAAAAAGCCATTTGTCGGGATAGTATGCAGGCCTTGGCGGCGCAGTTTCCATAACGGTATGGTAGCCCGGACGGTCCGACTGAGTCTTCTTTATGATCGATGCCAGCGCAACACTTGTTGCAAAGCATCTCGGATACCGTCTACCACTTGCCGGAAGATGGGCTATCTCGCAGACTCTAGCAGCACCTGAGCTCAATAGATGGGCGTGGTGACCTGTACGGTTCCATGTCGATACTCTTGCTCAACATTACATGGAATTTGAGGTCGAACCGGCAACACCTGTACATGAGCGAGAGGCGACAAGCCCTGTTAAGGTGGGAACGCTTATTCAGGGGCCTCTCGACTTAGTGCCTCGGCTAGAGTGGCCAGATGAATGACAGCTACTTTTAAGCTGATGCCACCTTAAGCTCCCATTGGCAGCGCGATGATGCGATTGATAAGATAATTGTAAGCGCCTGGGATCAACCCACGTTGACCGAGGAGGTTGGCATCAATCAAGTCATCATGACCCTAGTTGCTGACATTCCGTCACGTACTAGCACTGAACAGAGGGGTCGACTTCCGCTGTCGGATTCATGCTGTGAGCAGTGAAAGAACTTGGAAGTTTGTCGGTGAACTTAGCTGGAAGAAGCTTGATCACGATTCAACGCCGTTCTGGAAGGTCGAGAATGTCCTAGTATGCACACAGAAGAAAAAACATGCGCACTTGGATGCAACAAGGTTAGGTCGACTTTCCCCAAATAGATAGCGGATGAAATGTGGGGGGTAGGAATGTACTGCAGATCTGCAGCGGGTCTGAGCTTCTTCCAAGTTTGTTCTTTGAAGTATGTTCTTTAAGTTCAACTTTGTGCCCTTTCAGGCCTGTCCAGGCGGCTTCGGGTACTGCCTGCCATGGAACGAGTTGTTGAAAATCCAGGCGATTACTTGTTTGGCGGCGGCGATCGATCATGTCAAATGCTCTCGAATACACCAGCCGTGAAGAACCGGGCCCACTATCGCGGGTGTCGGTGATGACAATTGGAAAGACAACATCATACGAGTGTCACACAGTACGCCAGCCATGTTCGTGTAACCTGGCAAGGTGTCACTGTCGAGATGCTGTTGGTTCGGTTATGAGAGCCAGAGAGCGTCGGGTCCCAAAAGTGTTTGCGAAGCATCTGGGGTTAGTCGCAAGGGCTAAAACGTTAACCCCGGCATCTTGCCAAGACACTGCACAGACCACAATGTGCTTCGACCACACGTCTCCGGTACCAACTCTCCAGAATTTTCCGAGTCTATAGGGAGCACTCTGACGCGAACGTCCAAGGGCTGCGAGTGCATTGCGATCCCCGACTTCGAGATCCCGACTTCGTTTCGTGTGCTTGGAACCAATCCGACAGCCTCGTCACCAACAAAATGACGGGCCACCAGAAGCCGATCCGTCTCCCTCCTCTACGGGTGCTGCGAGTACGCAACCCGAATCAGGAAGGCCCGCGTCCCTGCCTATCTGTCATGTCTTCTGTGCTGGGTACGTCCTTACTCTAGCAACAGCTTCGATACGCCCAAGGCGGCAGTTAACTAATGTCAAATACACAGCCTGTTGGGCGTCAGCAGGTTACAACACCGCAGGATGCGCCCAAGTCGAGACGGCTCTGAGAAACTGCATGGACGGCCCGCAGCCTCCCAAGGCCAAGCGCAACGAGATCAACTACCATTTGTCCAGAATGTACAAGCAAGTCGTGGGTCCCAAGTACAAGAAGAAGTAAACCATTCGAGAGGCAATATGGGTGCCGCGTACTCGCTGGGAGGTGGGATGGAACCACTTTGGATCGACCTCGAAACCCCCTTTTCAGGCGAGCAAAGTCCATAGTGACTTGAAATCCTTCAAACCCCATGCTGGTGATGGGAGTAACAACGCGAACCACGCCACTGTACAATACCATCGATATACAGGACGAGGTCCAACGGAAGCATGACGAGGCGTTCTGGTTGACTTTCAGGGATGGCAGATCTGTCTGTGCGGACGCCATCAAAACTTGTGTATAAACAAATGTACAAAGAACGGAGTTGACTCCCAATGCTTGCGTTGCTTCAAATCCTTGTGCACGGGAGGTGTGCCGAGTGAGATATCCTCTCTGAGTCTAGATAGATAGAAGGCAAGGTCAAAATTGGGCGCTCTCCGACATTTCAGTCTTGCTCGCAGTTGCGATATATGTTTCGTCCACGATCCAACTCTGAGGTCAGACCATATGGACTTGGGACTAGCTGCTCAAGCTCTCCCCCGCTCGGTTTATGATTTTCTCCCGTGGAAACATCCAGGGTACAGCAAGTAATTACCCTCACGTAGCAAAATGACAAATCAGAAACAACATAGATCATAATGGTACGAGCTCGTAACAATGCTTTGAATTCCATGATCCATGCCCTGGTTGTTGAGTTGCTCCACGGCAGTGTGAAGTTTGTTCAAATCGTGCAGCAATGACTGCTATCTTCTTGTCAACGAACCAATTTCTCATTCCAAACTACCGCTCGGTCCCTGTATCTCAGCACAGACACGGCAGATGCAACGACTGGTAATTGCTGCAATTCTTGTCACTGGGCGTAGCACTTCCCGTTTGTAGGTATATCTGCCAGTAGTTTCCATCCAACTCGCAAGCCAAGAAGTTGAGTTCTGTATCCTCGTTAGTGATCATGAGCAAATATGTATGTTGCACGGACGGAGTAGAGTACAAAAGAGAAGAAGGACACTTACGTCTCCCAAAGCTACTACTCGTCTTCGTAATAATCGTATCCCCCTCGAGGGCCCACACACTCGAGCTCGACGTATTCCCAAAGGTAAGCGTCTTATAGCTCATCGTATCGCTCCCGATGTTCAGGTACGCGCTCGTGTTGGTGCTCTGGATCGAGTCGGCGATGTTGAAGTACTCGCTGCTCGCCTCTGGGCCCATGACGGCGATGGTGGCTATAGTTTTGTATATGCGTTAGCTAGTGCCCTCGAAAATAACCCACGCGTGTTTTGATGAAGACTTTTCCGAGTACTTGATGTATATTCTGACGGAGAAGGCAATAGGAAGATGCAGTGGAGACAAGTGGAATTGGTGAGGTATCCGTACGGTCATTAGGGAAGGCCTGTAGGTAGCAATGGAAGATAGGGTCCTGGACAGCTCGAATTTTCTCGGGTTTGGCTGCCGCTGTGGCAGCGAAGACAGCGAAGACAAGCAGAGCCCGGGGGGAGCGCATATTGAATATCGTAAAGCCTTCTCAGCAGCTGTTGCAAAGTGAAAAACTTGACAACTGGTTGGCAACTTCGCGATTGACTTCAGGTAGAAACAATCGTCAGGGGCGTCTACTTCCTCGACTTATGAGTGAACTAGCTAGACTGCACACGCCGAGTTACGTCGATAGGGGGAGGGGATTCGCCATGGGCCCACGAAAATGTTTCCCCGGAGAGATTTTCCACGGAGTCACCAACTTTACGATTCATTTAATATACACATGCAATTTACATGGGAATAGAGCGACGTCGAGGTATCAGGTCCGGACAATGTGCATTCAAAACTAACTCAACCTGGGGGAAATGCATGGATCCGCTGGAGAATCCTAGTCCGTAGTTACACCTCACGGAGCTTGGTTCCGTTACGGTCCAATCAGCAAATGACTGGATAAATGCGGAAGACACTTCCCGTCGACAAGTCTATCCCGAATCGCAGTGGATTTCAACAGCATCCGGGCACGATCCATGATCTGTATCCAGGGCCAGACTGTACACGACAACTGTAGGTATGTAGTAGGGAACACCACAGCACCCAGAAATTAGGGATGGAAAGATCAACAAAAGGCATGCATGTGTGTGCAGAGTCATCGATTTAAATCCTGCCAACACGTATCTAGGCTCCCAGTAATCCTCTTACTCATCGCACCATCCATTGCACAGACGCTGACCCTTGAACGTGGACACTTTGAATCCTTTGTTCCGTGATCCCACGCTTTCTAGCACATCCTGCTCATCGCCAATGAGAAACGTCGAACGGCACCGCCGCCCTGGCGCTGATGCCATATTCGTGCAAAAGCGTATAGAAATAGGCAATGTGAGAGGAGTCTGATTTGATACCACCCACACTGTCCTTTCTCAACAACTAGCCACTACGGACCTCGTGGAATACGGTCTGCTGGGCTCCGCCGGGCTCCATCCTGTCCATAACGACCATTATTACCAACAACGTAGAAAACGAGCGTCAGGCCAGTTTCCCCCTTGCCCCCGAGCGCGCATGGTATCATCTAAAAATTATGTCCAAGAATGGTAGACATCAAATGAGTGCGTACGGCCGACGATGATGGAAAGTTGAAAGCAAGTTAACAGAAAAATGTGGTATCAATATGATGCATCGTCTATGCTGTAGGTTGTGCGCCGCCGCAATCAATGTCGTCCAATGATGAAAATGATGCATGACCTGCCTATCAGCGTCCTTTCAAGTCGTCGTCCCGTCTAGTGGTATCTCGTATGTGTTCAATTCGACCTCCGCCTCGCTTTTGTCATTGTTAGGCGCGTGTCGTCCTTAACACGTGTCGCCAACGCAGAACAGCTCTATTTCACCCACGCCACCAGGATTATACTGCTGTTGTTCTCTTATGGCTTCTCTGAAATCCATGAATGCGATCTGAATGTCCTCGTCGCTCTCGATGTTGACCGAGTCCCCATCCTCATCACGATACCGCAGCTTCAAATTACCCTTACCAATCGAGCTTTGGGTAAAGCGAGAGAGTTTGGCGTCGATACGATCAATCATGGACTGGTACGTGATGTTGAAGGCGACCACCAGTGTTTGGTAGGTGCCATCATCGCAGATAACTTTGACTTTCAGCTGGGTAGGACCGTCAGGGAGGGGGCTGAACAGAGGGTTGCCCTGTGTGGATGTCCCTAGAGGCGGCGACACAGGTATAGACCGATCTACCTGGAGGGGTTGTGGCATCGACGTGGGCGGCAGCCCTTGGCCCGGCCCTGGACCTGGCGTCGTCTGTCGGGGGTAAATGGGCTGTGATGGGAATTGGGACATCTTTCCACCATACGAGGCATGGGATTGATGCGCGCGATCCCGCTGTATACCCGGACTCTGCGTGTTGGTCCGTATAGGCACATCCTGCATCGGCGAGCCAGATTGAGACCGAGGGACGCCCGTGTCGCCATGCAGATGGGCCGGTATACCAGGAACCGCGGGCACAGGGGTGCTGTTGTTGGTCCTCCGCTGGGTCTGTTGCTGCCCATTAATGTCGGGGGTACTGAACGAGCGGCTGCGTTGCGCAGCAAGGCTTTGTTGCGACTGGTGGGATGACATAACGGGCATGGACGGACCGCGGGGGGTTCTCCCATTCATGCCGTAGGCGTTGACTGGAGACGACCCATCGCGGGAGGGTACTCGGGGCATTGCGGGAGCTGTGTAGCGGTTGTTGTCCTCCCCCCATCCTGGCTGTGGCGTTCCCGACTTGGGGAAATTGTACCCACCCGTCGAGAATTGCATGCTATTGGTCGCGCTCGTTCGCGTTGACGCTGGTGATTCCGCCGTGGGAGAGAAGTATGACTCGCCCCCACGAGGCCCGGGTGAGCCTCCGCCTTGAGTTACACCCTGCGTCTGTAGACTGAGCTGTCCGGGGGGGGGCGGTAGAGGGAATCGCGGAGGCGGCGCCCACGTCATGCCTGCAAGAGACTGCGTGCTTTCACCTGTCGCCGAACGGGCCCTCAAATTGTTGCTTGAGGCGTGGCGGGTCATTACACCGCCAGTCGAGGCCTGCTGGCTGCCAAATGAGAGACTTGGTGGTGCGCCCTGGGCAGGACCTTGCGGTTCGTCATCGTCACTCTCGGCCTGTTGAGCGTACGGGTTCTCCATGTTGCTCACAGTTCGCATCCAAGCGAAATCAGGCGGCGGCTGGTCAGGACTTGCAGCTAATATTGGTGCGTTGTCTTTCCTTTGCTGGTCCAATCCCGTTGCCCATTTCTTCATCATCTCCTCATTGGCAAATCTGATTACGAAGTTCTCCACCCCGGGGTCCCCTTTCCACCAGATTTGCACAGTGTAATGACCGGGCTTGGCGAACGAGAGAACTTCCGTGACATTTGTCATGAAAATCCTGCCTTTCAGCTGCAGCTTGTTATTCTTGTTTCGAACTTTGGGCGTGGTCGACTTCGCCTTGTCCTTCTTCTCCTTGCCCTTGTTTGGTTGCACCTCCTTACAGCACAACAGGATACACTCGAAAAGGTATATCTCATACTGTGCCCAAGTTAGCTCATCTCGCCTCCAGGACGTATTTTGAATCTCACGGGTATCCGTACGTCTTTCTCTTGTTCGCTGCGTCCTGTGACGACTGTATAGACGCCATGCAGCAGTAGCCGGCCAAATTGTTCCACCCTATGATTCTTCCAGTCGTCTACCCTGCCTATGAGGTCTTCTAGTGCTTCGTCGAGAAGATCACGGTCGACTGCCTCGTTCGCTTTGGACAGGGCCCTCTCTGCCGCCTCGATACCCGCGGAGAGGTCACTCTTGATACCCGAGTCCTCACTCTTCTTCAAAAGATCCTACATCTTGTTAGGTGGATGAGCTCAAGTCAGCTAAGAATGCCAACAACTTACCTTAAGCAGAAGTGGGTATTTCACCAGTCTCTGCATGGGCTTCAACAAGAAACCATCCAGCGTGTTGAAATCGCAGGCCACTGGATGTTGGATTAGTTGAATCTTGTCAAATACCTGGTTCGCCACCTGAGCGGCCTTGCGTTGGTTTGCGATGAAAGGCTGGTAGATGTTGAAGGACTCTTCGTGCATGGCGAACGGTGCGCCCCAGTGCTGAGACGTTGCGGGCATGGAGTTGGTGGTTTCTACTCGAATCAGAAATCGCCGCTGGAAGTCCAGAATTGCGTTGATATTAAGGAAGATCTGGTGGACAATATCACCGGGTATAACACCCTTCTGTTCCAGAGCCTTCTTCAAGTCATGCAGGTTTTCCAGATCCTGCACGTATTTTCGTTCCGTATCTACCAGTTCCTTGATGATGTGATCGCGGTATGTCATTTTTGAACCCGGTGCAACTGGTCCGTTGTTGTCTTCAGGGTATGGCTGGATTTGGTGCAGTAGCCCGCGCTGATCGGCGAGGTCCAATACATAGTTCACCACAGCCGTGACCTGCGTATCTGATTAGCATATCAAGTCGTGCCGGGAGGTACTTGGACTTCCTACTTTGACAAATCCCGTCGTGTCGTTGCCCAGCAGATCGTTGATCACAAAACACTCGGCTGGCGGGATCTTCAGCTCTTGCAGGCACGCCTGCACAAACTTGAAAACTGCTATCTTGGATTTTTTACTCTCGTTGGCATTTGAGTCCTCAACTCGAATCGGGCTGGCTGGCTGTAGCGCGTTGTACACAACGAGAAGAGGATAGCCAGTCCGCAGAAGATCCCACAGGGATTCCACCGGTTCGCCATCGGCAGCCTGGTCTTCCAACTGCTGCGTATACTCCTCAAAGCCGGGTACCTGAGCCAACCTTTGCCTCAGGGACACACATATTTGGTATAGCGACCGTGACGCGTCGGCTTTCTGGTTGATGATATTGGATGTGGCCATTACAGGGCCACCATTGGTAGGACCACCCTTAGTAGGACCACCATTAGTAGAGCCACCATTGGCAGGACCGCCGCGGCCGGCCTCACTTTGGGCTGCTACCAAAGTCGACATAGAGGATAAGGATGAGGTTGATCCCGTGCCAAACTGTGTTGAGCCAGACAACTGACTTGCCCGTAACCCGTTCATCGTGGAATTGGAGATGCCGCCAATATTGCTAGCTGGAAAAACCGGGGCCGTGTTCGTCCTGAGGAATGTTGGGGCATGTGCCATAATGGCTACCCCATTCGCCGCCTTCCTGTGTTCGCCGAATTCTCTATCGCGAGGTCAATTACAAGCTCGTCAAGTGGCGTGAAGGGCGATGTCGTGGGTTATGTTCTTTGGGTGGTCCGGCGACAGGCACACGAAGGGTGGAATAGTTGCCGATCAGAGGGGCAAAGGAGTGCTGGAATCCAATCGCCAACAACACTTGTATCAAGGTAAATATGGGCCACGCCTCTCCTTTTTCTTGTTGAAAAGCGCAAGTCGGCAAAAATAATTGTTTCTTGCTTGTGGTTGGTGTTGGCGGGTCACTTCTCCTCCACTCGACTCGACTCGATTAGGGTCACCCTTCGTTCGTTGGACTTGTGACGGATGATTCCCAACGGAGTACTTCAGTTGAAGGTGCTCTTTATCTTTCCCACTTGGCCGCCACAGTCCGTAAACCCCGCAGTCCGGAGGTCTTGCCGTCACAGGTTGCTTTTCCCGACGGTGAAGGTTGCTTTGGCCCTGCTGGCGCCAGGCTCTTCTTGTTGTTGCTATCGTCGTATTCTATCGACGATAGTTTGGTGTTTGCTTTTCCCCTGATCTCTCAGAACAAGCAGTTCGGGTTTCCGTGGGATTAGAAGCGAATAGGTTCCTAGGTGTTTGCGACAAGAATCGTGTCGTGTGGTGGTGGATTATGGCGATAGGGCGACGTGAAACATGGAGGTCTAGAAGTGCCGAGAGCGGCGGTTAGTAGACCAATGTCGTCTGCCCTGTCAGCCTGTGTTGCGGGTGGTGCGGCGGTGCAGTCACCTCGGGCGGCTGCAACGAGGATGGCGGTGGACTCTCGTCGAAATGTTTGCCTCCGTGTGGGGAAAAGGAAGCAGTCACCGGAATTGTTCGAGAGCCAGTATCGCCTTTGAGCAGGAAGCTTTGTCTTGGGTTTGGTGGCCAAGGTGGTAAAAAGGTGGTGTGCTTCTTCTTGAGGCCCCCCGTATTCAACGTATGCAAGTCTGCGTTTTGTCTCTTTGTGCTTTCTGCCGGTTGTGTGCAGCCACTGTGCAGTTGCATCAACAGAGGTGGGTTGGGTTCGGTGGGCAACACTCAAGTAATAATGAAAGTCAAATACTCAATGATTCACCTGCACCTGCACTTTTGTGTACGCGTCGGCACTCGAGGAGGAAACACACAAGATAAGGATCTCAGTGAATGGACTCAACCAAGAGGACAGGGGAGAGTAAAAGCAGAAGAGCGCTACCCAAAGAAGAAGGGGAAGTTCTTGTCGCGGTGTTCCATTGGCATTGCTGTGTGCAATTGTCTGTCACTCCCTCATGGATCAGATGGACTGCACTAACAAGCCAACTACCAGCCAGGAAAAGAGGCTACTCGCATTTGGGCATTGAATGTGATGGAGACCTTGCTGTTTCAAATTAGCGAATACCACCGCTAAGCCCGATGCAGCCTAACGACCGTCCCAAATCCGACCGTGATCGCCAGGCAAGACCGCTGTGAGAAGGCAGAGACTCACGGCCGTGACCGGTAGGACTCGACCATATCCCAGTCTCTTGATGCCCATTTGATCTGTGCAGTTGAGCAGCTGACTTTGAGCACCACGGCTTCCAAAAGCTGATCAATACTGCCAAGTGGGAAGTGGTTATACGAAACACCAATATTGCATTGAAAAAAGTACCCCGTCCTCCGTCCTGCAGGAGCTCGCAACCCACTGCATTCCAATCTGGGAATCCATCTGCAGACCGACAGGATGCAGTCCCCATGGTACTGTCCACGGCCACTTTCACTACGCCCCTTTCTTTCTTTCTTACGGGGAGAGTCTGGTTCTCTTGCTCAGTAGAAAGGCTGCCCACTTGGTTTGTACACAAGTACTCACTCATGCATAGTGGATCAAGAATAGACAAAAGTCTGCCAGATTCTATTGTCGGGCCCGTCAAACACAATGGCAAAGTCAATTATGTGACAGATGGCCGCTGACAGATAGCCCGCGCGACTCTGCGGAGCACAGGCTGCAGCGGACTTCGTTGACATTCAAAAGGCAAAATGGTCTATGTCACCACACGCCCGAACGTCGTGGCCCCAGTAATCCGCAATATTTATTATCTGCACGATCCAGGACTGGCAAATGCCTAGAAGGATCCCAACATCGTCGTGAGCGAACAGGTTGTCGAATAGGGGTTTGCATGGTCTATCAAAATTGACGAACCCTACCTCTCCCTCCCCTCGGGATCCAACCTTGGCCCAGTCCTCCAACCTTAGTAAAGCTCCCATCCGCCCAAACTCTATCTTTGAGACCTCGGGGCAACCGCTACAATTCCAGCTTGAGCTGCCATTTGTCGGATATGGGAGCAGGAATATGATCTTCTTGACTTGCATAATAAGGCAGAATACGGCCTTCCGCCTGCGCCTGCACAGAAGTAGACTCGGTGGCTTGGTACCAAGTCTTTGCCCCGTTGGTTTTCGATCCTCTATCAATGATAGTGGGGTTCTTCGACGCCAAATTGTGACAATCTGATAGCTGTCCCTTTGCTCCTCTTGCTCGACTCCCTTTTCCGACTTTCTCACCCAGGAAGAGGGGAGGGGGGTCGCAGGGATACGCCCACAAGCACAAGCAGAGACCGTGGGCATCCCTTCACATCTCTTAGCATCCGAAAGCTTCTGCCTGTCCACCATTCCCATTGAGCGGGGACATCAAATATGCCCAGGTGTTCTTTGGTGCTTCTTCGATGCTTCCATGTCTCTCTAGTCCCAAATGGTCGACTTGTCCACGATCTACCCGCTTTGGGGGCCAAGTCCATCGGAGCGCGGCTAATCAGCTGTTGAAACAGCCCATTCATGCAATTTTTGCGATGGCCCTATTCTGCAATGACAACCTTGAGCACCACCACCCCGCCTTGACGCCCCACCATTGCAATCCGTCAACGAGTTTCGTATCACAATTTTTCCAGCTACCATCGGTCACTGAGATCGCGGAAGAAATGTCTCATTGCTACTCCCTATCAGTCTGGTGGCTTACTATGCTTCTTGCAGGCGTACGGCCTAGAACCAATAACAAATTGCAGTACTTAAACATGGATATGAGTAGCAACCATGGCATTCTCCGCATCTGCGATCATCTATGTATATGGTGGCCGCATATCAGGCCGCATTGATGCCCCCCATGATTCAGCACATGCATATTGGAACCTTTAAGGATAAGCCGGTCCTCTTGATGCTCAATGCAGAGCTGATGCTCAATTTCTCACATTAGTGGCAGCGGATCAAAGCTCCCTTGGCCCTTGCTGGTCGCGGCAGTTTTCGTCATTCTGACGGTTCGATAGGTGTGATTTGTCAAGGCGTCAACTGCTAGGGAACTCCTGCAGTGATATCCCTGGTGCGGCTCTTTGCTCAACTTTAACAAAGGCATTTCCTCGGCGTTTTGTCCTCTATACTTCCTTCGATCCGCTTGTAGGGCCGTTTCCCGTTTCTAGCCACCCTAGACAGCTAGCGGGGTATCAAAGTCTATGCCCAGCTAGCACGGTTCTTCGTGAGTTGTTTCAACATGGAATACACTGCACATTACATCACCCGTGCTTTGATAAGGCGGCCTGACTGCCATTTTGTAGCGGAGGTTTGGTGCCCGCGGTTGAATTTGCCTGCAATATGAAGGCACCTGATATTGAGTGCTTATCTACTGGTCATCCGGCTACCCACATGTCTGCAGATTGCTGGTAAGTTTCATGATGATAGCTAGGTAACAATCTACCACGTAATCGATTTTACTCATGCTAAACCCAGAGTGTCTATGAATGCGTATGATATTGTCTGTCTTTCAAGCATGTGGTAGTAGCGTTTCTTTTCAACTTCCCACTTATGACAGCAAAGCCAGACCATACACGTTAACTTAAAATGAGCATGAGAAACTTTGAGCAATAAGATGCAACAGGCAATTGCCATCGCTTTCGATTACGAGTCTCCATTTGATTTAAGTAAGCGACTTCAACAATCGGCAGACATATAGAGGAATGCAGATGTGATGGGTATCTCCTGGTCGACAACGTGGAGGTCTTTGTCAGGACCATTTCCATTTCGGCCATCGCCTTTGATGAATATATGCCAAGAAATCCAACCTTGGTAGATCAATTCTATAAAGGGACTGTCTATATTCATTTTGTCGTGTTATGATGTATGATGGTGGTGTTACGACTACGCACTCATCACACAGAAAGTAGGCTGTAAGAATGGGTCTTTATGCGACAAGTCCGAACTACTAATACAAATACTTGCAACTAAGTGAATATGGATTTCAGGTAGCTTTTCTGTATCCAGTATGCCGCGATAGAGCCAGTAATACCTCCTAACCATCAGTATGAGATGGTACAGCTACCACATGTCTACGGTTATCTGATCAATAACCAGCAGTTGCACCTGAAATTGCCTCTAACATACCATATATTACTCTCGCTACGAACGAAAAAAATATTGACATTGTCTCTCGTTATTAGAAGTGACCGTAGATTGTTGATTGAATGGCAAGGAAGAATGTGGTATCAGCAACTTGAATAAGCCCCTACCATGCTCTAGTGTATAACGGTTTACTTGAGCTTCAGAGTTGGTGTTTATCCGTTGGAGCGAGTACTTACTATTCTCTGAGCAATATGTAGAGATCCAAAGGTTGTTTTCAATGTTGTAACGGGTTTCGATCCTCGTTGTCCAAGATGTCCCAAGTACAAGGAGCACGATAGCACCTACTTGTGGAAAACAAGTTCTGTTACGTATTATCGAAGAGACCACCAGCGAGTTATTGCAACTGAGTATGCTAAGAATCAAGTTCAGCTCTAGGAGAATCATGAATAAAACAGCCAAGTCATGTTGACAATTCATTTGGATTATCGCGCGGGCTTGTTCCGCAAGTTTAGGGTGTGGCATCCATACACGCACGAACACACGTACACGCGCACATATACTTATAAGCAATGCCGGTCTCCCATGCTGTAAGCTAGAAAACTGTACTTGAACTCAGTGATGTAGTAGTCCTCTATGGAACCAAGGAATCTCAACAGAAGAAAGACGTCGCCAGTCGAAACACTTATGGGTTGGATGATGGTTTTGAATAACACCGGGAACTGCCAAAACTCGTCAGACACATATGTGCCACGATTAATCACCTGCGGCTGATGCCTGTCCAATTGTGTCACAGAGCACTAGTATTCTCTCGCTTAGGTTTACCCATTTTCTATAGAAACACGTAAATTGACGATGTTGGTGTCTACCTTTTGTTCACTGGGTAGGATGTCATCTTTCCAGCCTTACTGAGTCTGAGCGGATGATACCAAGGTTCCTGAAAGTGAATGACGTTGGTGACACTTGAGAAACTACCCTTGTGATGCAGGATGTGCTAAGTTAAGTGAATCCTATAAGGGGAACTACTATGGAGCTAAAAATTTGCAGGTGGTGTCGCTCGTATAGAAACAATAATCCTATACCTTCCCTGCAAGATTTCGTCAACCGTGCATGATGGCGTCTCCAACATGAAAGCCCATCAAGTTTCGGGACCAACAGGCCCCATAACACATCGAGTTTCCGTGGATTCAATCTTGTTGTCTGCCTTCCAATGGCCTCCATCCCTCTGTGGCGGTTGCGGTGTTGGCGGCGAGCCCTACGACCCAGTCTAACATAAACCACAAACCACAAACCACATCAGAATGAATGCCCTCGGCTCGACCGATAACAATGCCAGTAGGGAGCAAGCACACAGTCTGCCTCGGAGGACTTGCCTTCCCTACCTTACTGATGCTGATATCGTGGAAGCCTGCACGAAGGCGGGGAGCAGCATATGAAGGTGGTAAACACATCTTGACTTTAGCTTCCCAAGGTTGCTATTGATGCCCACAACGTCAGCACCCTGTCTTAGAAGCTACCAAGCACGCATGGGGAATTGGGCGCGGGTAGCTACCATGGTCAATGTTGTCTAGGGGCTGTTGGGATTTGATGTTGCAGCGAGCCTACCCCGAACCCGTCGAGTGACGTGATTGACGCAACCCTAAAGTTGGAAGAGCCTTGAAACATTGGGGCTCAAAACTTGGCTGTGGCTGGGGCAGTGGCAATCTAACCACCCCGGCATTGATCTGTCAATTGCATCAGGTGGAACTGTCCAGGGAGGAATCTCAACGTCAACTGCCCCGTGTACGTGGTGCCCGCCTTTGTTATTTCGTCGAGTTTGCCATTTGAACCTCTCTCAGGAGGGGAAAAGTCGTGTCATTCCGGCCAATGATGAGCGAAGAACCAAGGTTCTTTCTTACTCGACTGAATCACTCCTGATTCATCCGAAATTCTGCGACGATCTGGGCATGTGGTTACGACATGGTCCAACGGTCAAGGCTTGGTCTTTGGAACCTCCAGAACGGCACTTGGGTATGTTGTGAGTCCTGCCAGTAGTCCGCATGGCCGACTGGCTTTGGACAAGAAGCAAGTCATACGTACGGGTTGGGCATTGGTCGAATTTGAACAATTCACCTGTAGCTAGAGACGTACAAATACAAGAATGAAGTGTTATCTGGTTGGATGGAATCGTTGTATGCTGGATTTAAGTGTCTCTGCATGGAATTTGGGAGTCGTGGCCCGAACTTGGGCCAGTCGATTAACACATCCAATCAGGTGTGGGGCCCCAGCCGGGCGCTGCGGTGCTTTGTAAGGCGCTGTTGTCCAGGCCTGCCGATTGTTGACATGGTGCTGGCCTTGATTTTTGGCCGGCGAATGCGAATCACTCACTGCCCAGATTCCTTCCCCCACCCGCTTTGCTCACAACCCCGATTCCCCCTACCTTCTTTCTCAATCGCAATCCCGCCTTTACCTGAGCTTTAATAACGATTTTAGGCTTGCACCTCCCCCCTGCACCGAGTCAACTTGAGTCTCATCCATCGAGCCAGCGAGTCAGTGAAATCCGCTCACAACTCGATGCGAACGACTTGTCAGCATACAAACCTGCAGCATTTGCGATAACCTTATAGTGACCCAGGCCAGTGAGCCTGCGCTAGACTTAGCTTCGCCAGCGCCAACAACCCAGCCGTGAAAGTATAGGTTACGTCCACTTGGCTGTTCGATTTCCGACGACAAAATGGACCCCTATCCTCCCAGCCAGGAACCCGACGAGGGTTACAGCGAACACCCCTTGTACCCATCAATCGACAGCAATGCCGCTGCGCTTGCGTCTAACTTGCGATCTCCCGCCGAATTCGCCGCGTGGATGTGCCCACGCCTGTCCACGCTGTCGGTAACTCAGAAGACCCAACTGGCCATGGCCATTCTCGACGACCTCCCTACGACGGTCATCGCCGAGATAGTCGCTAAGAAACTGAACCCGCGGCTATACATCAATTTCGTGGAGTATTTGCCCCCCGAGATATGCCTGAAGATATTTGGATATCTGGACCCCTTGTCCCTCATTCACGTCGCCAAGAGTAGCCGGGAATGGTTTAACTTGGCTCTTGACCGCCAACTGTGGGAGAAACTCTTCTACCTCGAAGGATGGCGGGCGATCCCGACGGAGATCACAGCGGCTGAGGAGCGGATGAATGCTGGTTTGGTCACTCCAGAGGCAATGCATTCGCAAAGACTCCGGTCATCCGAATATGGTCATGCTCATAAGAAGAGGGCCATCTCGGACGCAGACGCGGATTCGGATAGCATGGATATCGATCGAGAGGAGGACGTAGAAATGTCGGGCACAAGCTTGTTTGGAGGCCCTCCAGCCGGCAGTGGTTCATCCTCGAAGAGCACCGGCAGCGTTATTCGGCATCTGGGCCACCTCATGATGGAGTCGCCGAGCCCCATGCCTGAATCGAGAACCCAGGTAGACGTGAAAGGCAAAGGCAAGGCAATAGCTAATTCCTATGACAATCCAGCACCGTCCTCGATATTGCTCTCCGTGCCCAAGTCGACACTCTGGGCGTATGCATCCAAAGACAGGCGGTATAAGATCAACTGGCAATATCTCTACTCTATGAGACGGCGATTAGAGGACAACTGGGACGCTGGAAGATACACAAACTTCCAGCTACCCCACCCGAATCATCCGGGAGAGGGGCATAAAGAGTGCATATACAGCATCCAGTACAATGCCGAGTTTCTCGTCAGTGGAAGTAGGGATAAAACCCTGCGAATCTGGAATATGCGCACCCGGCGTCTCATTCGGCCGCCGTTACGTGGCCACGTCGGCTCGGTGCTCTGTCTGCAGTTCGACTCGGATCCCAAGGAGGACTTGATTGTGTCTGGCAGTAGTGACTCGGATGTTATACTATGGAAGTTTTCAACAGGGCAGCCCATTCAACGTCTGAACCATGCCCACAGGGAATCTGTCCTAAATGTTAAGTTCGACAAGAGGATCCTTGTGACTTGTTCCAAGGATAAAACCATCAAGATCTTCAACCGCACACAATTACGGCCTGGCGAGCCTGGGTATGGTGACATCAATGCCGTCAGTCCTGTTCCCATCAATCTGAAGAACTACGACTACGATGATTCGCCGTTAAACCAGCTCCCTATCAAGCCGGCCTACTCTCAAATTGGTTGCTTGGAAGGTCACGGTGCTGCGGTGAACGCGGTTCAGATATGCGGCGACGAAATTGTGTCAGCTAGCGGGGATAGACATATCAAGGTCTGGGACTGGCCCAATCAGGTCTGCCGGCGGACTTTCCTTGGCCACAACAAGGGAATAGCCTGCGTTCAGTATGACGGCCGACGCATCGTCAGTGGCAGCAGTGACAACGAGGTCAAGATTTTTGACCGCGAGACAGGCCTGGAAGTTGCGAGTTTACGAACGCACTCCAACCTTGTGCGCACCGTCCAAGCTGGATTCGGAGATCTTCCCTATAGTGTTGAGGAAGATCGCCTCGCAGCTAGGGAGATCGACCAGGAATACTTTGCAGCCAGAGACGCCGGGACACTTGGGGACACATTAACCTTAGCTAGGGGCAAGGCGGTAGGAAATGCGGGCAGTCGAAGACCGGAAGATATTACGGCGTATGGAGCCAAACTTCCTCCTGGCGGTGGAGGTGGCCCGTACGGACGAATCGTGTCGGGTTCGTACGACCAAAGCATCATTATCTGGCGCCGTGACAAACAAGGTGTATGGAAACCTAGCCACTCGCTTCGTCAGGAGGACGGAGCCGTGGCTGCGCAGAGAGAACGAACTACGACTAGTTCGACAGGTGCCATTCCTCGTTCATCCTCGCCTCTACCTGTGGACGGCTGCAACAGTGCGCAACCTGCCCATCGCCACAACGCCCGCCCCATTGTCAGATTACCCCCGGCCCCTGCGCAATCCGCCAGTGCACCCCCAGCACTACAGAACACACAGAACGTCACGCACGCTGAGCAATCAAACCACGCCACGGTCATTCCCCCCACCCCTACGTCGTACACCCAGATGGTCGATGCGTGTGTGCTGCAGGGCCCAGCTGCACTTCGTCATGCGTTGGCTAGCTTTCCAACTATGCTCACCTATCACTCTCATATCCAGGCAGTCATCGATCGCGAGCCTAACGCACGAACTCGATCGCAGATGAGACATGTTGTCACCACCGCCTTGGTGCGAGCACAGACTGCTCAAGAACGTGTGCGGAATACAGTCGAGCTTGGGACGGAAGCTGACATAAGCCCGGCGGATCGAGCACTGGCTCAGGGTATAGAAGAAACATACCAGGAGATGGATACCTCATCCATGACGGATCGGACAGCTTCCCAAGGTATCGGAAGAACACCTCAGGGGATGTCACAAACGGGTGCGCTGCCAGAGACCTCTCCTGGACAGTCGAGCTCTGCTGCCGGACTTTCTACCGATGTTTCCATGAGTAGGCCGTCAAATGCCGGGCCACCAGCCGATATTGCTACCCGCCGACCGACAACTGCAGGCCCCCCCTCCGACATTTCTTCACACCGGCCAGCAGTTGTCGGGCCCTCTGCCGATGTTTCGACAAGGAGGCCGGCAGCTTCCCGCCACGTCAGTCAAGTTGCTACAGCACAGGCTCCTACGGTAGCTTCAACTTCATCCGCTTCCAGTGCAGCTCCCGGCGTCGGACTGCCTGCAGTGACAAACGGAATCGCACAGGCTGCACAAATGGTCCAGCAGGGTCCAAATAACACGCAGGCTCAGGCGACGGCACAGCCCCAAGCAGCAGCGACGACAACGGCGGCAGCTCCAGCGCCGGCGCAGCATCATCCACATATAGCTCAGGCAGATGCAAACCCAGCGCGGGTATTCAAATTACAATTTGACGCGCGGAGAATCATATGTTGCAGCCAGACGACGACGATTGTGGGCTGGGACTTTTGCAATGGCGACGCCGAGCTCGAGGAAGCATCCCGATTCTTCGGAGCTGTGGAATAGAGGATTTAGATACCTGGGCATTACATCGATCCTTTTTGGTCTGGATTGGGATTTCGGAGTCTAGGCATTAGGGTGACGACGACGGGGCATACAGGTCTACAGGATTATGACCGTTGGAGCGCAACTGCATAGTAGGCCAGCATTGTATACATTTTCTAGGAGATATCTGCATAATGGCATGGCATGACGACCTCTTCAGGGGCATGGAAGTGGATGCAGTTCCTGCCTCTAGCTGTGAAGAGGGAAATGATTGTCCTGATGTCATGTTACTGAATAGCGCAAGTGAGAATCAAACGATAAATGCATGACGTAAGGCGTAAATCTTGAGCTTGTAATGAAAAGACAGTGAATAAAGAATCCCAAGCATGTTGGACGGAAGCAGTAAACACTGGGGTCCCAATTTGTGTGCAAACTCGACGCTGCTGAGTGAGCAATAACCAAATGCATTGATGGATTCCGTCTGTAGAAACTTGTCAAGTCCTTTCTAAAGGCACCAGCCACAGAGAGCCCCGCGCTACACTCCACGCCGCCCCGCCATTGCCTCGGAGCTGCACATGCATCCCACTTTCCATCACCGACATTGTTTGAATCACGGCGCCAATCGTTCAAGTGTCTTGACGCATCTTCACCTTCGATTCGCGACATCCTTACGAACCAGCAGGCCGTGGTCTCACATCAGGACAACCACCGTTGTGAACCGCAAAAGCCTCCACCTAGGCACCCGCACACACAATGAACCGCCTCTTCGGCAGTGCGCCCAAGGGCCCCAAACCGACGCTCAACAGCGCCATCGGCACCATCGACGGGCGCATCTCTTCCCTGGACGTCAAAGTCTCGTCCCTCAACGCAGAGCTGTCCACCTACCAATCCAAACTGTCCAAGATGCGTGACGGGCCGGGCAAAACAGCCCTCAAGCAAAAGGCGCTTAAGGTCCTCCAGCGGCGCAAGCAGTACGAAGCGCAACGCGACCAGCTGCAGGGTCAAGTCTGGAACATGGAGCAGGCGCAGACGATGCAGGATAACCTGCAGGGCGTCATGACGACGGTGGACGCGCTGAAAACGACAAACAAGGAGTTGAAGAAGCAGTATGGCAAGGTGGACCTCGACAAGATTGAGAGGCTGCAGGACGAGATGGCGGACTTGATGGATGTTAGTAATGAGATACAGGAGACGCTGAGTAAAGGGTATGAGGTGCCCGATGATGTGGATGAGGGGGAGCTCGATGCCGAGCTGGAGATGTTGGGCGCCGAGATGGAGTTGGAGGGCGCGATGGGCGAGGCGAGCGGGGTGCCGGATTTCATGAGGGATGAGGTGCCTGAGTTTATCGATGAGCCGCCCGAGGCGAACAAGAAGGTGCAGGAGGCGGCGAGGTGATCGTGGATCGCGAAGATGAGTGGGGGAGCGCCGGTTGCGGCTGGGAGTTTTGGAGTTTCTGGCACTATGGAAGGGGGAGGATTGCATTATTTGCATACTTGCCATGCAGACGAATGTCTCATGGCTTGTCTTTTACGTCGACATGATTGTGAGCTGTGGTATTTGAGGTGTCCTCTTGATGTTCAACATAAGCTTCATCGAATGCAGCCAGCCTTTTGACGACCAACCTCCATCCCATCGATATGACAATCATGGTGTCCACTGCAATCAAGGCAGATATCGCAAGTAGAAGTATGCAGCATTCGATTTCCTTCGACGGCGGGGGCTCCGTCGATCTCGAAGCCAACGGTGCTCAACATGACAGGCTTGCGAGTTGTGGAACGGCGAAGAGAAGAAGTACTAATGAAGACTATCCTATCCGTAGCCAGCATCAGAAGTGCCCCTCGTGTGTATAGCCCACTTTTTCCGCTACAAGACCATTGTAAACTGTAGGACTCAGGACCTACAATCCTAGCAATCTATGCACTGAGGAGAGTGCCGGCTTACTATTCTGCCCTTGAACAATCCCGTTCTTGCATGTAAGGAAGCCCGGATAAAGTCGAGAGCACGATCTAAAGTATTGCCCTGTCTTGTATCCTTCGTACTTTAATACCAAGTAGAAACACAACTTGGGAAGAGCTTCATCATGTTCTGGACAAGAATTAGCTCGAAGGAGGCCCATCGCTGTCTCACTAGCCAACGACATACAGATGATGAAGACAAATTACCCCACAGAGAAGATAGCACATTGAGGGAGGCGGTGGCTAGTAAACACGTGCCGCAGCTTTCCGTAAGTCTTTCACGTTCGCCAAGTCACTTTTCTTGATAGATGTTGCTCGAGTTTTAGAAAACGGACTTCAATGCCTAGTAGTACTACAATTTGGAGATCTGAGATCAACTGAAAAAGTGGCCAAACGGAGAAGGTACCTCTAGCAACAATTTTGCCAGCGCTCAACCATCAGGTTGACATATTGAGATTGATATTGATGAAAACTGGAATTTCCCCGGAACACCTAATACGGCCTGGGCTTATGAAAAGGAAACGACAATTTTGAAGAACAACCAAACGGGGTCACAAACGTACAAAACAGACTGGCCTACAGCATTCCTTATCCGCATTGCCTAGGCCGCGGAATCCTTCATGGGACTATCGATGTCAAAGTTGATGTACTCCAAGAACAGCACCATTTCCTCGAATTTCTCGGCCAGGTTCTCGACGCGGGCCGCCTCCGGATCCTTCATGGCTAGATTCAAGTCTGCCATGAATGTGGCTCGGATTTTACCTTGGATATGGTCCAGGCTGGATCCATTTTCTCTCATATGACCTAGAAGTCGCCGCGCCTCGGCCCCAGAAATGTCACTGTCTCGCATTGTCATCGACAGCAGCCCTTGCGCAATCAACTCGGAAATACGGTACGGGCGACGCAGTCCCTCGTAGCCGTATATGCACAGGAGGAAGTAGACGTGCCATTCCGGGTCTGATTGGCCCTGCAACATGGCGTTGGCCAGGTATGTGAGTGCTGTGTGCCACAGAATTGTGTACGTCGACGAGACATAATTGGAACGAAATGTAATGATGAGGCGCTTGAGCTGATTCACTGATGCATTATACACGTCGCCGGCACTAGCTGAGCGAGTTCCAAAGGTCTTGAGCAGATTTCTTTCTGCCGGTAGTCCGTGTATAAAGGGTCGGAAAATATCAAGAATGGCTGCGTGAAGCCAAAGACTAAAGCAGACGATTAGACCTGGTAGAGATGATGCCTTCAGTTTAGTACGTACTGAAGAATAACCACATGATGCGGGTTGTCTTCTGCTCGCTGCAGCTCAGAGGGTAGGTTCTCGGCCCATGCAAGGAGTTCGCGGAATTTGAACTCCGCATATTCGAGATCAGAATGCGCAGGAACAGGACTATTTGTGCCTTGGTAATAACGCATGGTAACCCCCTGAAGAATTTGCCAGAACTCGCACAATGCGGGAAAGGTCTTTCCCATGTAGCGAGGGAGTACTGGCTCTTGCCGAAGGGTAATGTTGCTCGAGTTGGACGGTTCCTGAGACGAAGCTGTCTCCTGCTTTCCTGGGATTGGGAGCGTTGGGGGATGCTTGGGGCACGGCAGGCCAGGCTGCCGGTAGAAGAGCGACAAGAATCTATGAGAGTTAGTTGGGCATTTAGTCTGGAGAGGGAGGGGGTAAATCACGTTGTCCAGTTTGTGATTCCCCATGCGGCGTAACAGCTAGCGCTCTGTTCTTCATTAGACAGCGTCTTACGAGACGCGTCGGGGATATCTTCCATCCCAAAGAGCCCGAGTCGCGCCGCCATCCGGGCGGCCGCAGCAGAGTACTCGAGGACACCGTGGTCCTTACCGTGTCCTATAAAAGATAGACTCAGAAGCACGGCCCCGGCAATATTTAGAAGTGAGTCAGTGTTGCGCTCCATGTTCCACAGCAGCAATGCTTCTTCGCAAAAAGAATTGGCGGAAACATTTGCATCTTGATCAATAGCGCTGTACATTTGCTGGCGGGGCCGTTAGCAACACCCGACGGTTTCTGTACGGCTAGTCACTTACACATCCCCAGTAGAGTAAGGCATGAACAAGAAAGCGTGAGCAGAACCTGTGTTGCTTGCTGACCAAATCAGTGATGAAGAGGTCTGGGTCGAAGAAGCCAAGAAGCGGGTGGTCCGTCTCGAGGTAAAGTGAGATGACACGAGCAGCAAACTCGTCCGCGACTACTACATCAGTCCAGTAGGAAATGTCTAAGAGGGTAAGGCGCTCGTCGCAATAGCTAGCCGGCAAGTCATCCGGCGTTGCTCGAATGCGAAATGGGTTGGCAACTGTGCGGGGATGAAAGCCAGATGATTCGGCTGTATCCGTGCCATCTGGTTCCGGCTGGCTTCGAGAAATACTGTCGGCCATGTCTCTGCGGAATTAGTCGGCTGGGCGTACAAGGAATAATTGAAACGCTGGCGGATGAGATGCGGAACGCACATACTGTTGGTCCTTCGAGTGGATTGGAGCCGATCTCACAGGTTGAAGAAGAACGCTTTCTGATAGCAGGGCCGGGATCGGTGGCAACCTAGGGTACGAGACATGATTTCTAGTCTTTAGTTCGTCCTCCAACGCAGCCAGCGATGTGGTCACCAGCGTGATCGGTTCATCTTCCTTGGACCGGCTCTGGGACTCCCTGACGCTGGACAAGACGGCAGCCGGATCGCCCATTGCCCTATATGCCAGAAGCAGGTCAAAAGCCTGCGGCTCGGGCATCGACTTGAGCAATGTTAGGAGCTCCGTCTTGTCGTCGACGGGCCTTTCGGCATAGACGCATTCAGACGTCCGCCTCCGGCAGGCAACACACGGCCGATGGCCGTCGCACTGCGAATGTCATCAAGTCAGCGCACGGGCGAAGACACCCTTAGCCGACATCTAGGCTGGCGCAAAAGAAACGCACGCGAGTCTTGGACTTGCGACAAGCTGGTGAGTGTCAGTGAAATGAAAGACCGAGTTCAGACTTGCTGGGCATTCAGATTGAAAGGCTGTAGGCTGAAGGCTGGGCTGACCATTGCAAGCGAGCTGTGTTCCAACGCGTTTGCGCTGTGGCAACTCTCTCATGAGGCCTAGTCTGCTAGGAGAGGGTGCAGTTGACGATCCAGCTTCGGAGCCAGGTGGCGGTGCGAGTACGGGATCACCAGGCTGCGCGGGCAGGATGGAGGGGTATCTCTTGGGCATCGTCTACGTTGAGGTCTCAGTTAGGTTCATGCGCCACGAAATGACCAACAGTCCTATATGTTCAGGCATGTCTTGAGATGGGTCGCTGATCGAAGCGGACGACGAGCAGACGTTTAAAGTCTGGAGACTTGAAGAATTGAAGAGGAAGAAACACAGGAAGGAGGTCCTGAGAGCGATTGGTCACTTAGAGCAGCGGCAGTGATCGGAGATGCTTCCGCCCATTGACATTAGCGGCAACGGGCAACGGACGCGACAGGCAGTAGCGTGCACTCTCGAAACCCGTGCCTGCCAAGAACCCGCGAGACGTTTCGATTGCCGACATTGTACGGAGTTTGGGATACATACTTGGAGCAGAACACCAGAGATGCAACTAGGCAGTTCGCAGATGCGGGATTTGGATTTTGTGAGGTGTTGAGCTGTGACCGGCTGTCCAAGTGGAATTGTGCCGGTCCATCGCCTTAACTTTAATGATAAGAATAGAGCTCTGGCGCCCAAGCGACCTCATCGCACACATGCCAAACAAGATGGTTTAAGAGCCCATATAAACCTGCTTGCCTGCCCAACTACTCCGTCACTGAAGCACCCGTCTGATATATTTCTTCTATTTTGAGTTCTAGTTGACACATTCGCGAGCGTTCATCCTGCCGTACACAGAAACAATAAAATGGCGAATGAGCTCGAGATGTGGGTGTACCTGTTGACCCAGGACGAATAGCTGACGTTGTCCAACATATCCAACATATCCATTCCTTCCTATCCTTCTTGGATCGCTTGGATATGTTGGCTGTCCAACATATCCAAGTGGGGATCAGTGAAGGAGAGATGGGTATATAAGGGACAGGACTCCCAGGCATTTCATAGATAGACAGTCTCTACTTCAGTGATCAATCTAAGCATCAATCTCACCCATTGGTGAGGCAAACTGCCTTGACGACTCTATTCCCAGTTACCCTACTTGAATACTTCAGTTACCCAGAGCCCTATACTCCATATGTCAAACCCCGATATTATTGCTTGAGGACTCCGCAGCAGGACTTACTTACTAGCACAAACCCTTACAGACTCTTTAGTGGTTTACGCAGCTAGACTATTAGAGGTTTCGTTACACTTATACAGAAGTTGCTGACTTTGTGTGGGAGTGATTTGATTTGGCTGAGCGAAACGGTGAGATTAGCGAAAAGGTGGGGTCCCACGGTATCGCATAACAGTCAGGGATATTCACGCATGACGTACGACTTGGCAGGGGTGTTATGTCGATTGGCATTCACACGACATCCTTCGAGCACTAACTGAACTTTGCAAGGCGCTTCTCTCATCATTTGACTACCTACTTTCCTCGACTCACTTTTGCTTGTGCGTCGGAAGCTTCTTAACATGGCCCGCCTGTGGCCTCGCATCTTCGAAGATGTATCTTTCTCGCGCTACCTCTGGATATTTCCCCTGGCGGCGGGAGTTTCTTGGATAACGACCCTGTCAACCCTGCTGATCCGGTGGTTGTCGCTCGGTCTGCCTCGCTATCCTGGCCAAGTCAACCCAGATGTACCCTTTATCAGCGACATTGCCGCATTCACCTTTAAGCCCGTGTTCATCGTGGGATGTACAATTACCGGTATCTCGTTTGCGGGCACGGTGTTTGCCGTGCACCACGTGCGGTACTCGCCAAAGTTCTACCGACTTACGAATGACGCGGCATGGAGGCAGTCAGTCAGTTTCATTGCCCTCGGTTGTGGGCTAGTTGCCGCCGTTAGCTTGTTCTTTCTGAGCGTGTTCGATACGGTGGACGCACATGTGCGTCACCGCTATCTGCTGATGAGCACTTTTAGTGGTTTGGGGTTGAGTGCAATTTTGACGACATTGGTTTGGTGGGATCAGACTGTGGGACCGGCCAGATTCGGTGGGTTGAGGCGCTGGTATGGGCTCCTAATCTCTTCGAGATTCGAATACTAAGGAAGAACTACACAGGTGTCTCCTGAACACTGGCTTGATGATCTGCCAAACTGGGGTTAGCATCGCTTTCGTTGCCCTCATTTACTCGGGCCATTACAAGTCTGCTGGGTTTGTTGAGTGGAGCTTGACTTATTTGGGGGCTTTCTGGCTGTTATCATTCGTTGGATACACGAGGTATTTACACCGTTACGGTCAAGCATATATAACCGGCTTAGACGTGCTAACAATGGCCAGATTCAGGGAAGGCTTGGACCCAGTACCACCAAGTGAGGATGAGCAACGACCGTTGCTTGCTCCATGAAAATGTTGAGTCAGATCGTACCTGCCATGATTGGTTACGCACATGCCTAGTCGAAGTACAAGCAGTATGTCTCAAGGGTCGGAACAACCTTACTATGCTAACCTAGTGAGCTAGGGTTCTAATACCCTAACTATTGAAACAGGGTCAGGCGGTCAGTAGGATATACCTACCACCTAACACACTGAACAGATGGCTCCAGTACCAACAGATCCCATCTGTTGGTCTTATCAGACGAAGATCGTGGTACTGGTTATAAGAGTGAAGCTCTTACACGTCTGGTGCGTGAGTTAGTCGGATATACCTCTGATACTCGTATCGTAATAGTAGGATCTCGAACGTAAAGATAAGCTGAATAACTAAAATAACTAAATAACTGACTGAAAAGCGAAGGTGAAGATATAGATAAGAAGGAGATGATGATATGAAGATGAGGATGATGATGCGTGAAGATGGGGGACTCGTATCTTACTCTGCCTCTGTGCCTCTTAAAGAAGAGAAAATAAACTGTTGAGGGACACACAATAGAAGTGATGTATTGTGGTGAGGAAAGAAAGCTAGGCTAGTGTTGTTGGTCTGGAAATAAGTAGTGGTGGCTGCGCAGGTACCACCTCTGACACACCCCCCCCAGGCCAATAGAGCTAGTCATCTAAAAAGAGCTACGTACACGTACAGAATATCCGTTTTTCATCAACTTGACTTCCAATTTTATATGCGTTTCTGCCACCTGACACCGCCTCAATCAGAATCACCAAGGACACGGCGTCAGACGGAGTTGACGGACGAATTTCAGATGATTCTCTTTCGTTAACGGCTTCGTGAGACCGTCTGCAATCATCTCTCCTGTTCTGGCGTATTGAATATCGAAATCTCCTCGTTGGACGCGATCTATGATCCACTTGTACCTTGTGTCAATATGTCTGGTTCTGGCTGCATTGTTTGGGTTAAGTACGATTGACTTGGCATTGAGACTGTCAGTCATGAGAAGAGTTGGAGTGTCTTGGGGAAACCCAAGTTGTTGTAGTAAGCGTAAGATCCAAACAGCGGATAAACCAGCTGGTGTGAGATTGATGAATTCAGCTTCGGTGCTTGAAATGACCACGAGGGTCTGCTTCTTGGACTTCCAATATATCGGACCACCGCAGAGGAATACAACATGAGCTCCTGTTGACGCTCGAGTAGCCAGGTCATCAGCGTGTGCCGCATCAGCCCAGACATTGAGTTTCAGATCATGAATGGGATACTTTCCGCCGAGAACAATACCGAGATTAGGCTGTCCTTTGAGATATCTCCAGAGATGTTGAAGCAAGTCCATATGAACCTTGGTTGGCTTGCTTTGCGCCTCAGAGAGTGCCTTGTTGGTGTTGGTCATATCTGGTCTGCTGCCAATACTGAGATAGTTGAGCGAGGCCGTCTGTTTGAGGTAGTTTGATTGGTCATCCAGCTGAATATTAGGCCATACAGCTGGTATTTTGATATCTGATGGCCAGGGCACAGCAGAAGGTTTGAGGTCTAATTTGCCGAATTTGGTGAGAATCTTCATCGCATACTTCTCTTGTGAGATAAAAACCTTGTTTTCATCTTGATTTCTTGAAATCTGCATGCCGAGAAACTCTCGCACATCTCCCAGCTCCTTGAGGCGGAAATAAGCAGCGAGTTTCTGCTTAGCGATCGTAATGTCTGACTTGTGATGACCCGCAAGCAGAAGATCATCTACATAGACAAGTACCATAACTCCAGTCTTATCATTCTTGAAAAGACAGAGGTCGGCTTCGACAGGTTCATATCCAATCTCCTTCATTGCGGTAACAAGGGTATTGAACCACCAGATTGGTGCTCGCTTGAGACCGTAGAGAGCGGCTTTCAGGCGCCAAACGCGTCCACTGCCGTCATCATATCCTTCTGGTTGGCGAACATAGATGTCTGGAGTGTCCTGAGGCTTCTTAGCATTTAAGAAGGCTGTTACTACATCACAGTGCTCGGCGTGTAGACCTAGAGTGGCCATAAGAGCGAGAAACACTTTGAGAGATGTAAGGCTAGCGACTGCAGCATACATTTCTTCGACCGAAAAGCTGCTTGAGTCTTCGAAGTTCCCCATAGCTACAAGCCTCGCTCTGTTTCTCAAATGTTGATTGGTAACTGGATGGAACTTCTGGTCCGTTACCCACTTCGTCGGCAAGGCCTTCGCTCCAGGAGGGAGATCTGAAAGCTCAAAGACTTTACGAGATACCAGTTCGTTTATCTGATCGTCGAAAGCTGACTTCCAAGTCGGCCATTTCTCTTGCTTTCGAGCATCCTTGTATGACTTGGCTGAAGGGAAGTCTGATGCGGTTTTGGATTGATTCAAGAGTTTTTCAACCTTGATTGCAGACAGACATAGATGTGTGGAATCACTAATCTTGGCGTCGAGCTCAAGATAGCGAGTTTTGTTGATAGATTTGGAGAAATTGACCGAAGATAATGACAACTGGTCTGCCTTTCTCTTGTTGTATGTGCGTATGCCAGCGAGATGTCGATAATCTGCAACTGATCTGGCCGCAGCACGACGAGGGCGTGAATTTGAGGTTGTCGATGATTTAGGATTCGGTTCGGGATTCGGCTCAGGATTCGGCTCAGGACTCTGGGGACCTAAGGGATGTTCGGCATCGATGTCATCTAAATCAGTATCATCGGAATCGAAGCTTAATTCTTCGCGTGTTCGAGTCAATGGCGCTGGACTGGCCATCTGCTCAGGCCCAGGTGTGGGATAGAGTGGATCATTTTCAACTTCGCGCTGCATATTTCCTTTTGTCTCTTGATTTTCCCTATCATCGGCCGGTTGAGAGGATGGAAAAGTAGATGGTTGGGTTATTGTGTGCGTGACGACTCCGTAGTCAACGGGGTTAGCTATCAGATCAGAAAATTCAACGTCAGCATTCTCATCTTCGAATTCAACGATGAAGTCAGCGTCAGCGTCGTGATCTTGTTGCGTATCATCCAAAGTCTCCGCAAAACGAACGTCACGCACTCGCATCACGCGGTGCTTCTCGGGAACCCAGATCTTGTAGAGTTTGGTACGAAGGTCAGCATAGCCGACGAGCTTGCCCTTCCATGCCCTGTGCTCCACCTTGTCAGCTTTGGCAAGATCAGCTGGTGTTTTCTTGTGGACATAAGCTACAGCTCCGTATTTGATGAGATTGGAAATATTGCCATTAATGACCTGTGCTGTCATGTTGAGATAGAATCCAAGACGCTGGCGAGGTGACAGGCTGTCTTTTCCATTTGGTAGGAGATTATGTATCGTATCCGCTGTCTCTTCAGCCCACGGCCAGAGAAACTTGGGCAAGTTACCGCCGATGATGCCGCTACGAGCTGGTGTGATGAGAGTCTGGACTGAGCGCTCTGCTCTTCCATTTGGTTCGTGAGTGTTAGCAGGAGATCGATGCCATTGAATGCCCTTCTTGGTGACGAATGTGTCCATTTGCTTTGCATCGCCAAGAAATTCCTTGCCATTATCCGAGTGGAATATTTGGACTTTCAGACCAGTTTGAAGCTCGACCTGAGTAACGAAGGCAATGATCTCCGCATGTATATCACCCAATTTGCGAGTGAAGCGAGTCCACTGCATGTCAGTAAACCCATCTGTAAAGTGAACGCTGTAACGCCAGCCAGTAAGGCCTAGCGGTTGATGATGAATAGTGTCGAAATAGATGATCTCAAGTGGTCTACTCGGTTGAATAGCCGGATCTCTGTGGATGATTTGTTTTGCTTTCGAGAGCATACAAGTCTCGCAGGGTTTGATTGGTTTTGTGACTTTTAGACCAGCGGCTTCGCAGGCCTTTTTGACTGTCTTGTAGTTCGCATGCATAAGTCGCTCGTGCATCAATTGTATGTCAATTGTTGCTGAGAAGAGTGGAAGGTGCTCTGCGGGAGCTGTTGGCTTGCAGACGAGAGGAATAACCTTCACGTTTTTGAGCCAGTTGATCTTACCAAGTTCAACATTCGATTCCCGAATGCGAAGAGTTGATGTATGTCCATCTTCAATGATGCCATCTTCCCTCAGTAAGCCAGGGCTGATGATGTTAACTGGGGAAGATTCGTTATAGAGAACACTACCGATAGTCCAATTAACCTGTTTACTATCAGTTCTTTGAGGATGAATCTTAATGGTGCCAACAGCTGTGGCAGCAGCAACGCCACCATTAGCTGTGTCCATGTAGATTGGTTCAGGAAGTTGACGTAGTGAGGTAAACCACTTCAAATCATTGACTACGTGTCCTCCAGCACCAGAGTCATTGATGAAGCTGTCACGAGTCAGGTAATCTGTTCCATCACCATCAGTTGAGATTGTGTTGGCTGGCAAACACATTAGATTGCCGAAGAGACCCAGATTGGTTGGACGCTTCGCTACTGAATCTGGTTGAAGACAAAGTTGGCCAAGATTCGTATTGACATCAAGTGCGTCTTTTGAGGCATTTTCATTCGATGAAGGCTTCCAGTCTGGCATATTACGTTTGCGCCATTGTTCAGATGCCTTTTCTGGGAATTGTCGAAAACAGTCGCCGGTGTGGTGCAACTTGCAATAGTTACAGAGAGGCCAAGTGGTTGGATGTTTGCGTTTGCAAGTATTGCAGTGTTCCGTCTTGCCTTTCTTGTCTTGGTTGTCGTTTGTCTTTTCCTTCTCTTTATTTGCCTGTGAGCCTAGAGTTGAATTACCTTGGTTATTTTTGATCTGTAACATGATCTCGGGGTTGTGTGCTTCTTCATTTGCCTTGCGAGTGATCTCTTCTTGCATTTTCTTCCACGTCAAATTACCCTCTTCGAAAGATCTGGTAAGAAAACCATGGACCAAGGGATAACGTTGTTGAAATGCTTTGAGCGCGATCAGTGTCAGAGCTTTGTCGGACATGCCACATTGTAGGGCAGTGAGACGATTGATAAGATAGTTGAGTCGAGATGACCATTTCTCGAGCTTCTGGCCTTCAGGAATTTTCATAAGGCCAACGAGCTCATAGAACATTGCTGGTACATTGTTCTCGGACTCTTTGGGAATGGTTCTGAGAATCAAACTGTAGAGAACAGAGGGATCTTTTTCAGTAAGCATGTCCCATCCTGCTGATTCCAGCTTTTCATGAACCTTGACGATGCTTGAAGTAAGCAATGACATAGCGTGGATCTGCTTTTGCTTGTATCTGAGTTTCTCTTCAGAAGGCGCGCTTTCATGTGGTGCTGTTGATGTGCCATCGAGGAAGGCTTCGAGGCCAAAGTATTCGGCATGTTGAGTTACTTGCACTTGCCAGAGTTTGAGGTTCTTCTCGCCTTCCAGCTGAGGAATTGGCGCCAGCCGTACAGATGCTTCAGTCGCCATGATGCGATCGTGAAGTCACTGCGTTATCAGATGGACGCAATTTGTGTGATGTTAAGTAGTGTTGAAGCTTGAGGCAGGCACGAAGTTTTTTCGTGACCCACTTCAAGGTAATGACGTCGGATACGCGTTCCTTCCAACAAAGTGGAAAAACTGCAGAAATCAACGAATCGAGGAAATGTGTATGTGATGAGCTGCAAGGCCAGAATCAATGATTTAGGCTCGTGCAGTCACTATTCTCAATCTGTTGTTGTGATCAAGCCGTGAAGTTGGAGAGTGACCACGCTGCTGCAGGTTGCAGCAGATTCGTGCACCTACCGTAGCGGACCTTCGAAGGCCAACTTCGCGAAATAAAGGTCGAATCAGATGCCGAAAATTGTGCAAATGATCGAAATGATGATGATATGACGAATAATGCTTCAGAAATGCAATTATTCGTGATGCGCGTGAGCGTGAGGGCTCATAACCTGTTGAGGGACACACAATAGAAGTGATGTATTGTGGTGAGGAAAGAAAGCTAGGCTAGTGTTGTTGGTCTGGAAATAAGTAGTGGTGGCTGCGCAGGTACCACCTCTGACACTATCGGATTGCGGCATGATGTCTGTAATCAGGCTGGACAAGATGGCCGAATAGGCGGCATTGCCCCGCCAACCAACATGCCAAGCGAGGAGAGCCATCCGAGTCGGACTGGCAAGATAGGCTGACACCAGCACACGACAATGATGATGAGGGACGACAGTATCAACCCTAAAATATTGATGACCAAGACTGGTTTCCGTCCAAGTCTGAAACACAGTAGTAAATTATTCCATTAACGTCCCACACCCACATGTCGGACACCCCAAAATACCTTATCAACACCGCTAGCCTCTAGCTTCAACCTCTTTTATCTTTACCAATATCGATTCAATCGTTACGAAATTTTACGTACGTCTTATTTACACTAGTATGAGTCAATATACCGAAGATGATATTTATCGAGCTCTTCAAGCAATAGCTACCGGTCAAAGCCTCCGAAAAGCAGCATATGAGCATGGTGTCCCAGGTCTACTCTTTCACGACGGATTCAAGGAGCCTAGTCAAGAGATATAGCCTTAGCTGACTACCAGAGGCTCTTTCCAGCCCAGGAATCCTATCTGGCTGAATAGGTTCGAATCCAGGCTGCCCTAGTGTTACGAATCTACGATTCTAACCAACGCAACAGGCCCGATGGCAGGCCCAGTGGATACAGGACAAAGAAGGAGGGGAAAGTCACACAGGTTGATTGATTGAAATTTAACGTCTCATCACGTGAGACGGTGCCGGCATGGTCTATGCTAGTCGAATCTATGTTACAGGGGACTGTCTTCATCTAACATTTCTGTTCAGTGCGATGGAAAGTCACACAGGAGTGGCTAGCTGCAGGAGGAGCCAGCTAGTGCAAGGATCACAAGTCACGTGACTTACAAGGGTGGATCATTTGGATATGAAATGATCCAACATATCCAGTTAGGACCAATTCAACGATCGATGGGCCACTACCTGCCCTCAACAGTATCGAGATCTAGGGATCGCTATCCACCCGCGACCCCCGAACTTGGCCTGCCCCGGCAACACCTAGGCAGATTACTCGCAGCGAGGTCGCACCACGGGGATTTCGTGACCTACCACGAGAGACTCCAGCATCGCGACGCACTGCTCAACTGCGGGTGTGGAAGACAAAGACACCAGTCCACTTCTACTTTGCAAGCGCGGCCGCAAGGCCACGCCCGGTCATCTAAAAGCGCATATGGCCAAGAATAGTATAGATTCCCTCCTAGGCACGGCCAAGGGAGCTCGTTTGTTTTGTCAATGGGCGGAGGAGACCAATTTCTTTACTGAGATCTGCCCATCGCACTGAACAGGAATGTTAGATGAAGACAGTCCCCTGTAACATAGATTCGACTAGCATAGACCATGCCGGCACTGCGCCCGGCACGTCTCACGTGATGAGACGTTAAATTTCAATCAATCAATCAACCAGTTAGGACCAATAGTATCCATGAAGGATCTAATGGCCCCAGTTATCAGTGAAAGAGGAATGGATATATAAGGGACAGGACTCCCAGGCATTTCATAGATATACAGTCTCTACTTCAGTGATCAATCTAAGCATCAATCTAACCCATTGGTGAGGCAAACTGCCTTGACGACTCTATTCCCAGTTACCCTACTTGAATACTCATGTTACCCCAAAGCACTATACTCCATACGCCAGACCCCGATATTATTGCTAAAGGACTCCGCAGCAGGACTTAATTACTAGCACAAACCCTTACAGACTCTTTAGTGGTTTACGCAGCTAGACTATTAGAGGTTTCGTTAGATTACAGAGCCATAGAGTCCTGTATATAGCAGTAAGTAGGATCAAATGTTAGTGATCCACTGGAATTCTAGAACTTTTGGTCTATTAGCCTAGGGGTTTGTCCTCCCTTGTGACAATAATACCAGTGGGTCATGGTGTACGGGTGTCAGCCCTCGGTTATAGACAAGAGGATTCGAATCGTAGTTGTGCAGCCATGTGCGAAACGGTCGATACCGCAGGCATGCCGTGCGCGACAGCGGCAACTACCTCCTAAAGTATGTTGACAAGTGCGGGGTATACATATATGACCGGTGGTCGCTATATGTGCTCTGTACTTGGGGGTTTTAATGACTGATACCATATCCCTGTACTAGTAGTGGGGATGTTCCTGTGAGCTCGGATAGCCCATAGGAGTCCGTGAGATTCTTAGAATGGTCTTAGCGAGGATCTAGCGGGATAACATCCAAAAGGTTCAGTGCTAAAACCGTCTATTGAAGTCTCGGGGTCGAGCCTTACAGACGGGGGGTAATTGTCACAGCGCTGCCGATTACAGAGCCACAAAGTGCTGTATATAGCAGTTTGGTGGGATCAAATGTCAGTGATCTAGTGGCATTCTAGGTTAGATCTTTTAGTCTATTAGCCTAGGTACTAAGACAAAGCAGCTAACTTGCTTGTGGGGCACGTTCCTCTTAAGAGTATACTTGAACCTATGGTTATCGGTCTGCTTTCGCTATTTTTTATCCTATAGACTAATTTGAGCCGTTATAACGTAACCCTGATTATTATGTTTTCCGTACATAGTATCTACTGAAAATTAGATACTTTAAGATCGTATTATAATACATGCTCTGATTCTATCTACCTTCGGGTTGTCCGTCTAATATAGCTGCGGACATTTGCGAATAATACATCCGCAGCTGGGTGGGAGTCGTCCACCGTGGATTTAATGCTAAAAAAATTCGATGAACCTTCACAAAAGCCGCTTCGATTGTTATAAGCTGAAATTGATGAGTTGTACCAGTGAGAATAGAATTGAACAGTGTAATGATAGATTCCTGAGCTTCGTTGGCTTTCCGTGCTGAAGACGGAGGGGATACATGAAGGAGAATAGTTCATCCATTTGGGACTCGTGGCCACTCACGCAATAACCTCGACGTAGGAAGACTTACGGGCGATTTTCGTTTTCTCTAAGGCTAGTTCCTGAACATTCAATAAACAGTGCCTTTGCTTAAAAATGTCATATATGAACGAACGAGAGGCTGTCGTAGTGTTGTGTTGAGTTGAGCCGACACTTGTCCGCAGCAACAGCAGAGTATAAGTCGAGACGATCGTGGGATCCTTCGGCATGTTCTTCGCCTGCATGGGCTGAACTGTAGCTACAAAATACCGGATACTGTGGCTACCACTTTTCAACAGCCGTTCTGATGCGCGAGTTGAGTAGCACCACAAATGAGGTTTGCATTGTGTCACCTGGGCGCAGATTGGTGCGGTTCCGAGGTTTTCAGTCTATTTTGTCGTACCTGGAATTTTAGGTCTCAGTTCATAACTACTTCGTAACAATTCAATAATACAGAAAAGGATTCGATCCAAAGTTGTTGGACTTAAGTGGAGTTTTGTCCAGAACATGCAATTAGCAGCTCATCCGCCGTCATAGCATAACACATGATTATATGAACCAAGGTAATAGAGACAGCTGGAAAAGTGATTTTTTGGGACACATGTGACTTGCATTTCGCCAGAATAGTGAAGAATCAACTGCAGTTCGCCGCATTTGATCCACTATCACCATGAAGAAATCATGTTGTTTTACATATAATGCCTGCAGATGCCAAAATTACTGGGGCTAAGGGGCCAAACGGCTTGGCATTACCATATGGCAGTCCAAGGAGATTCCCCTTCTGGGATTAACCCCCATGTCATCATGTCATATGTTTGCAGTCGCGAGAATCAACCCGCCCTGGTCGCCAAGCTGTTCCATCGATCCGGTTAACCGACCTCAACGGTCGAATCATCGGCTTGGCATCTGTATTGGCAGAAATGAAGGCCCATTGCCAAGCTCTGAGTGATCCGGTCATAGACGATCAGCCGAGATTCGACAGCTGAGGAGCCGCATACGAACCACCGCTCACACGATCGTGGAATTGGAAGAAACACGTAAGGCGAAGAGGCAAGGATTGCAGGAAGGATGTATATAAGAATGTCTGTATTCGAGAACTGCGACTGCTTTTTCGTATTCATCCACACGGCCACTCATTCGCCTTTCCATTCATTCATTCATTCTTCGTCCAGGTGACCTAAGTGTACATTCTCTCTTAGCAATCGTTCCCTCTTTTTCAAGATACATTAACATCACTCCAAGTCAACTCGTCAACATGAAGACTACCACTGCTCTCTTTGCGCTCGGGCTCAGCGTCATGACCAAGGCCAGCCCCGTCCTCCGCCGCGCCAATGCCAGCGAGGCCGCCTCGGTCGTTATGCCACCGAAAACGGCGGTACCACCGGCGGTGCTGGAGGGGCGTCTACCACCGTCACCACGCTTGACGACCTGGTTGCCTGTGCCAAGCAGGAGGCCGCCGCCATTTGCATCGTCGACGGCACTATCGAGGGAGCCGAGGCCGTCCAAGTCACCAGCGATACCACCATTCTCGGCAAGGACTCTAACGCTATCCTCAAGGGCGTTGGCTTGAAGATCAATGGCAAGTCGGGTAAGCCCGTCACTAACGTTATTGTCCGCAACCTGTCTATCGACAAGGTTCTGGCCACCACCGGCGATGCCATTGGTATGCAGTTCGTGTAAGTACAATGCAATGAACCACCCCAAACATAACTTCATTAAACATGGAGGCACTGACAAACATTTGCAGTGAGAATGTCTGGGTCGACCACTGCGACCTCCAGGGCGACCGCACCCAAAGCGACAAGGACAAGTATGATGGTCTCTTCGATGTGACCCACGGCTCTGACTACGTCACTATCACCAACTCGTTCCTCCACAACCACTGGAAGGGCTCCTTGATTGGCCACTCAGATAACAATGGCGAGAAGACACCGGACACCTAACCGTTACCTTCGCTAATAACTACTTCTACGACCCAACAACTCGCGTGCTCCCTCATTCCGCTTCGGCACCGGCCACATCTTCAACAACTACTACGAGAAGATTTCCGACGGCATCAACTCCCGCCTCGGCGCTGAGCTCCTTGTTGAGTCCAACGTTTTCTCTGACGTCGACAAGCCCCTCTACTCTGTCGACGGCGATGGCTTCGCTGTCTCCAATGACAACGACTTCGGCTCCGGCGAGAGTACCATAACCGCTGGCGATGTCTCTGTACCCTACAAGTACACCCTACTTGGCTCTTCCGCCGTCAAAGCCGCCGTCGTCGGCACTGCTGGCGCCACCCTTACCTTCTAAGATATTGGAAGGAATATCCATGGTGCACAGAGGGAGAACCCTAAATTTCATGTGCAGTTTTGCCCTTGCTAGGGTCTGACATAACTTATTACAAGCAATTCAATGTAAATAATTTGTTGCGCGCATCCTGTCCATCGTAGATTACTTGTATAATTCTAGTATATCCGTATCCTTCAGTCTTGTTTTGTTAAGAATTGCTCTTGAATTAGCGCACAGTGACGGTCATTTATATTATCATCTTACCTCATCTAATATTTTAGTATACTAGTATTATTTAATCAGTTTCTGTTGACAATACAGGCAAGAGGGTTGTATTGGTGATGATAATGATGGGCCTAAGTCCCTAAATGCTGTAGCTACGGAAGGGCTATCTATAGGCAATTGGCCCAAACGCTGTGTTAGGCAACCTTTGTGGGCTTTGCCAAGACCACCAAGGTTACCATATGACTTAGCCCTTTGGGACTAAGTCCAACTTCGTGCTCGATAGCATTAGATAGAATGTCATGCTTTTACAATCTCACAAAATTCGACCACCATTGCGTGTAACACGCTGCATCTAGCACACAGGCGGTGTCCCTGGGCATGTAACAATTTATTTTTCATTGTATTAACTCGTTTAACACTTCGTTTAAATCTGAGCTAGTTTAATAACCTAGAAGCTTTTGAGATAGTTTCGGACTAGTGGAGACGGAGTATATAATAAAGCTATGGATTCTCTCGGGCAAGAAACTACAGATTACCTTTTATAATAACATGTGTGTCTAATTCGAGACTCGCTTAAACTACTTAGACTCCGCTTAGATAGTGTATAAGCCGCTGTAATCTAGGGTAATGTCTAGGTCAGCGACAAGCATAGTCGGTTCGAATCCTACGGTGGTTACAGAGACCACGCATACCCCCGGGATAACCCAGCTTGCCGACTTATTATGCCGTACGAGTTCGCTGGTTGCGGAGCGGTGAGGCATCGAGATGATCCTGATGCCTTCAGAGCCAATGAGAATGCCAGACAGGGGATAGATGAGAATGCCAAGGGACCCCCCAACCTTGAACAACTCTGCGCTCCAATCCAACGGTGTGGGTAGTCGCCAAGGAGAGCCAAGAAAAAGTTGCGTGGTTGATGCTTGAGTGCGTCACGAGGAAGTTAGAGACAACGAGTAGCTGTCCAACCCTATAATGCCCAATAGTTTCTTCTCAGCATCACTTGGCTGAAAAAGTGTGCCGCCTTACGGACGTACCCTGGGTTCGAAGGTGAGATATCACGATAAGACACTGACAGTGATGGGAGGAAGTAGGCTTAGAAACGTCGCGCATGGGTATCTGTGTCCCAGCAAGACGCTTTCAATTGATTTTGTCTCTCTCTTGGCAATAAGAACGATCCAGGCCCATGATTATGGAACTCCCAAGACTAAAAGCACAGAATTTGACCCCACGCTCGTACGATTCCCACAATTGTTTTCCTCAAAAGTTT